AAAAAAAAAAAAAAAAAAAAAAAAAAAAAAAAAAAAAAAAAAAAGCTGCGATGTCGACAATCCGGTGGTTGACGTGTGGACGGGCTTGACGGGCAGGAGATCAAGAGCGATGGATGACGGCAGATCAAGTGGAAATCTGCTAGCAGAGATCCGAAGATGATCCATTCCCCCACCATTTGCCCGCATCGCGGTGGGTGAGCGTGGTTCACCCCCAGACAGACACAACGACATTGGAATCCCAGTGTCAAACACCTCGTCCCTTCAGGAAATCACGTCCGGCCCGTCTCAGCGCGGCATTTCTGGCAGGCGTGATGGCGTCAGACAAGCCAGAGTCAGAGCTCATGATTCGGGAAGAAGAGGGCGTCCACGTCGAATTGACTTACGATCACTTGGATGTCGTTGCTTGCATGAATCGGGTCAAAAGCCCCAAGGCCGGCGCCGTCGTCATGTTTGCAGGTAATATTAATGTTTCTCTTATTTTCATTATTTTCGTCGTCTTTCCAATATTGCCGCGTTTGACGGGGAAAGTATGCCCGCACCAACGAAAAGAGTTCGCCGCCATGACAAATGCCAGTGATCAGAAGATTCGAGGCTGTACACGTGATGCGATTTCTCTGGCCGGCACAGGCAAGCCTTGGAGAGAGGCGTGCACTGCAAGAGGAGTAGTAGAGCAGCTGCTTGCCGCCACTATGATAAATTTTCTCACCGGAGACATACGCCTACATCAGCCGCGACGTCACGACCTTGCGCCCTCCTGTCCCGCATTCATCCGGCCCTCCCGTCATGCCCGCAAACAACGCCTCACTAACCGCGCTCGCAGGCACAACGCGCGACTCCTTTGCCGACAAGCCCGTCAAGCAACTGACCTACCAATCGTATGCACCCCTCGCGCTGCGCACGCTGCAGGACCTCGCTCGCAAGGTCAGAGCCACGCACGCCCTAACCGCCATCTCGATCACGCACCGCCTCGGCACCGTCCCCATCGGTGAAGAGTCGATTTTGATTGCCGTGTCAGCGCCGCATCGGCAAGCAGCGTGGCATGGCGGCGAAGAGGCGCTCGAGCTGTGCAAGGAGCGCGCCGAGATCTGGAAGCTCGAGGAGTTCGAGGGCGAGGAGGGCGTTTGGCGTGCGAATAGGGACGGGCAGGTGGGCACTAAGGTGCAAGAGGGGGAGGGGAGGAGCACGGGGACTGCTGGGGCGGGTGGTAGTGAGGGAGGGAGGTGAAGGAGAGCATCGGAGACGTGGAAAGTAGTGATGAGAGTGGCGGAAGAGGGCGGATACGGTTTTGTGGGGATGGACTTGGAGCTCGCGGTAAAGCGGGTGTTGGGAGCGGGGAGGGAGCTGGGCGCCATGGATGGGAGCGACGGAGGGGAAGTCTCAGATCCCCGAAGTCGTCGGGTACGTAGCTGAGGCTAGCAAGGCAAGAATGACGGCGAAGATCGCCGCCCGATGTATCGCCAGCCAAGAGTGGTGGTGGTGGTGGTGGTGTGGGAGGGCTGTAGGCAGCAACACAATCAAAATGCGTATGCATGTCATGCTGAGATAGTCATACAACCAGTCCTAGCTGAGATGCAATGTCCAACCACACGACTAAACAGCACTGTTCAGGCACGCCAGGCACCAAACGAGTGTTGTTCGACAGTCCCACGGCAGCATTGGGTGTGGATTTCTAACATTCGCCTGTTTAGGGCGCTACACAAAAGAACGTGTAACGCGGTACCTCTGCTGTGGATCCCGAGGACCTGATCGTCGTGATCGCACACACTAGAGTACAAGTGGGAAAGCTTGTAAGCAGGCACCAGAGATCCCGCCGGTGCGGCTGGGTCCCCGTTGCTACCTAAAAAACACGAGGCGGCCATGTGGTCGACTTGCACTGGAGGGACAGCTGAACGACTGGCGGAGAAAAAGCACGGTCAGACGCAATAGGCTTACTTGCAGATCTCATTTCGAGAAGCAATTCGCCAGGCTGGAACTGCACGTGTAGTCTGGCTACAAGGCCAAGACGTCCATGCCTATAAATGGATTTGAGTAGAGTGGAGAGTAGATCGCCCGGGCTGGGCGTGGCGTGTCAATCACGGACACAAATGGACCCCGAAGCCAGTTTTGGCCGTGGTACGGAAGATGCCGCACGGAAATGCGTCCTAGGCCTTGGGATTGCCCCGAGTTATGCGGGGTTCTGGGGCCGCTTTACGCCCGCGGGGTCCTCGGCCTGGAGGTCAGCTTTACGAGCAAGCAAGATGCCGTCTCGAAAGGCGTGTTCCTACCTCTAGGCATTCTTGCCCTTGTCTCCCGACTTTTGCTCCTCCGTCTTGGCCTTGTCCATGATTTGCTGCAGATCCATGCCCGTGGCTGCCTTGATTGCAGAATTCATGTCGTTGCGGGCCATGACCTCGGTCACCCATTCTTCAATCTCCCGATCGGATGCCGCCTCATCGCCCGTGCCGATTCTATGCCTGACCTTTTGCCTGAGATCGTCCAGGGTGCTGATGTCGGTGGCCCACATGGCGCCGCCGGCGAACATGATGCTGGCGCTCACGACGTGGAGGGTGGCGAGGTTGAAGGCCTCGAACGCGTCCAAGGCGCCGTTGACCTCGCCATGTGGGCGGTTGTTCGGATGGTAGAAGGGTGGGAGGATGGCCTTGTAGCGACGAATGAGCGAGCGGCGGGTGATGAGCTGGGCGACGGTGAAGAAGGTGGCGCCGGCGCAGAACAAGCCCAGTTGGTGGAAGGATCGACGCGACACGAAGGTGTCGAGGAGAGAACGGCGTGGCTGGTCTAGAGAAGCTTGTTGCGGCTCTCCCGCGCTGCTGTCGCGCATGCTGTGAGGTCGGGCGACGCGGTGGAAGCTGAGAGAAGGTTCGCTGTGGGGATCTGACAAGCAGACGAAAAAGGCGGAGAAGAAGGGTGGCTATGCCAGATGGAGAGCGACGAGTTTGGGTGCGACTATTGACTGCAGTCAGCTCGCCCGGCGGCGGAGAAAGTTAGAACGCCACGCGACAATGTCATTGGCGCGTCGCGACTGGCTCCGCAACGTCGAACAAATCATCGACGCACCAAGCCGTGAGACGGCATTTTCTAGCTTGACGATGTCCCTTGTCGCCTGCCTGTCACACCCGAGAAGCGACGTGAAAGTCCGGCTCGCGCCCCGTGGCACTGACGCGGGTTCCTGATGCCGTGCAGCTGTTGGACTTTCCAGCCTTACGACCATCCATGACCATCGACATCTACTCGTGGGTAGGTGAGAATACGAGCGGCCCTTGTATTCCCCGCACCCTCTTTCTTCGCCCATCTGCTTCTGCCTGAGCTGGTTGGTCCTGCACCTTTTCATTGCTTCTGCGCTACGCCTACCTCCCGCCCGCCAGCCGTCATGACGTGCAGTTAGACTTCCTTCTCGTTGGCCCTACTGCTTCCTCCCGCGGCCGGACGCTTTCTATTTTGGGATTTCTTCCGCCTCGCTCCGGCCAGTCAACTCGTACCCCAGGATCATGCTTGGCCTGCGAAGAAGTCCACACCTATCGAATATGCAATTCTCCGCAGAAACGGCACGCCCAATTACGAGAAAGAATCTCTCATACCAACCGAGGCCTTGGCCGTCTTGGTGCTTGGAGCTCGTGCTTCGTGTTCACGTCCTGGCCGGTGAACCTCAGTGCATGCACGCGAGGCTCGAGCAACTTGCTCCCACGAGAATGCAAGTGGAGATCCGTCTCGTTTCTGACGTCCATCAGCATCATGCTGCACGCCATGTGCCGTGTTCGGAAGTGGTTTTCGGAATCAACCTTCAGCTGCTGTGCTCATTCTCGTGTCTTCATGATCACGGCTCCAAAGATGCCGCCAAGTTCTGACCCTCTCCCGCGCTATAAAGCCTCGGGTTATCCGCGAGGAAGAAGCTCATCACTAGCAGCAGTAAGCAGCCAGATCGCCTTCGCTCCTCTCAAGCCTTCGTTATAAAACCTCCCAGTCCCCAAGACCAACTACAGCCCCAAACCCTAGCCTTCCACTACTCATTCAAAATGTTCGGCTCCATCAAGATTACTCTCATTGCCCTCTTGGCCTCCACCATGGTCTCTGCCATGCCCGGCAACCCCGGCTATGGCACCACCACTGCTCCCGGCAAGGGTGGTGATAATGGTGGTGACAAGGGTGGCGAGACCAGTTGCTACACCAAATACATCACCGAGACTTCCGTCGGCAAGACGCCCGTGGTCGGCACCAGCACCAAGACGATCCCCACCGTATGCTATATTCCCTATCCAGCCTGCTCCCATCTTACATACTAACATGTAACCAACAGGTCATCACCAAGGTCGTAACTGTCCCCTACACGACCGTCGTCACCGTCCCCTACCCCACGACCTACTACGAGACCGTCCCGGTCGTCAAGACTGTGTACGAGACCAAGACACTCACCAAGACGGTCAACAAGGAATCGACGTCCGTCGGCGAGAAGCCCGTCACCAAGACCGAGACTTCCTACTCCACCTCTCTGTGCCCCACGACCACCTACTCCCAGTTCACCACCAGCACGGTCAAGAGCGAGGCTACTTGCACCACCAAGGGCGGCTACGGTGGCGGTTACTAAGCTAGCCAAGCAAGGTGTGGCTTTTACAGGCTGCATGATGATTTTTGCTCACTGGAGCAAAAGAAACGCGTGCCACTAGGACGTTAATGGGCAGGGTAAGGAACACGTTTGTTGGGCGGTGAAGCGGAGGGCTGGAGATTTGTGGAGGTGGTTGTTCCTTTTACGATGCTTGGAATTTGCACTGCTTGCTCAGCTCGCTGCAACTACCCTTCTATACACTCCTTAGACGATTATCTGGAATGAATTCCTATATCGGCATTTTATTGTTGGAGATAAATATTATGATCATTTGATGTGAAGCCTCGTTATGCTTTTCTGGAAATCCGCACGACGAATATGGACAGTGAACTCTATGCGAACTCTGTGATATGCAAGAGGCTCTATACGTTTGGTCAAGAGACGTTTGATCCCTGTCAGTGGACAAGATGCCGCTGAACATTCCCTCACCGTACGAAAACCACTACGAACATGGCCACGGCCGCCCGCATCCAGCAAGGCAGATACCTTAACACTCATATACTATATCGCTGACTGACGGCGCCTTCCCAGCGAAGTTCGACGTCAGGTGTCCCAGGCGTTGCACAAAGCGGCGCCGACTTACCGACCGCTGCAGCAGCCTCGCTGAGCCTGCGAGTCACACTTACATCAAGGCGCAAGCGCAGCAGCGACATCTACTACGTACATTATCACGAGGGTCGATTGCAGCAACGCCTGCGGTACTCAGCATGGAGCAGAGAACACCCTTCTACAACTGCAGCATCCCTGCGTTTTCGCGCACGCCCAGCGGCAAGCTGTTGTTTCTTTTTCCCCAGCTAGCATTTCGGGAGCAGCGATATGAATGGCTGCGTCTGCGACCTATCGGGTGATCCGTCCGGACGGCGTGGCCTTCGGCCGGGTGCTGTGGCCTGACATGGCTCGTGAGGGGGCAGCTTGGGCCGCGCTTGCACCGGAAAAAAGAGGAGAACTTGGGGGCTGACTCGCCGAGTCGTACGTTGGGCAACGGCGACGGTCAAACGCGAGGTCACGGCAGGCGGAGTTCGAACGGTGGTGCGGATGGATGACGACAGGAAAGAAATAGAAGAAACAGCACACAAGAGGGAAACACTGAGAGATAAAGGAGAGCAAAGAGAGGCGCCAGGGTTGATCAGGCTCAAGTCTGGAGAGACGAGGCGCGGAGAATGGCGGGGACCCCGGCTAAACCCCACGGGCTTGGCCCTAACCGGTTATACTCCCAGCCCGCCACAACACGAACGCCCACGACTCCGGATAAAATCGACAGACACGCCACCGGAACAAACACTGCTCGTAGCGGATGGTTCGTTCGCCGTTTGATCGTAGGCTTGCTGTGCTGAGCGACGCCTCTGCCGCTTCCTTCCCGTTGCACATCATCCGGTCAGGTGGGTTGAGGTTATTCGTACCTCTGGTCAAGAGACCGGGGTCGAGTTGTTATGGAGTCATCAGGGACGGAACTCGGCTTCCGGGAAAAGTCTGCTGGCCTGGCTCGGTCTTTCTCTCCTTCTCTTATTCACTGCCGTCTCGCTCCTTTCCTCTGTCTTTGCTTCTCTTTCCCCTCTGCTCTTTTCACTTCCTACCCTGAGTGCAATTCCGCACACCGACGGCTACCTGGATGCATCTCGTCGATATGCTGGGCCTTTAGATCCATAACGGGCTTACCTTGAGCCATATCTCGACCAATGCTCGTTAGGATGGCTATACATTCCTTGCAGATGCATCGGCAATAACACCTCAATGGCCGACGTGGCCTTCACCTCCGTCTTAACGGACCCGAACTGGACTGCGTCGAGCGGTAATAGCTCATTAACAACTCAAATAAAGGACTTGTATCTGACTGTGCTTCATGTAGGAAGGGCTGCTCTCCATTCATATCTCTTTTCGACCCTGTCGGCTCCTATGTCCGCCGGCCCAACAACCCGACGACGACAACCAACCCGCTACGATCAGCGCATGGCGGTCTTCATGGATGGCGATGCTACTCTGCTGCATGACCGTCACTGGGTTGCAGCAAGAACGACCCGTCGCATGCTGTGCGAACTGAACACCACCCAGACTTAACGGCGCCGTCGCTATTTCCCGCAAACGAAACCACCGTCGTCTCGTCACATTGGATTGGCACGCGGACAATCCTCTCACATTCATGAGCGATCATGTGTGGGCTTCATGACGTTGTCATATGCCCTCTCACCACTGCCAGTTGTACCGACGTCTGTTGTCGCGCGGAGGATCGGCGCGAAGAACCAACAGACCAGCTGCGACGGCAGATCCGTCGCTACCCGGGCTCGCTTCGCGTTTCCCAGCCGGGGCCAGCTCCCCCAGCTCCCTCCCCCTCACGATCGCGAACATCAACATCACGCGCCCGCATCGTCGACGCTGCCGTCATCGCGGAGATGAGGGGTAGCAAGTAGGAAGCGCAATCTACACGATGAAACGGGAAGGACCCCCCCATTCGACGCCAAAACCGGCTGCGACACGGGCGCGCTGGTGCCCAACCGGCTTCTTCCTTGCGAGCTACGTCACTGCCTATGGAATTCTGGGGACGATTGGGGCTGGATGTCACGCGAAGTTGGGGTTCATCTCCCCGTACGGAGAAAGTACGGAGACTATGGAGGTGGGAGAGGATGGGGAGCGGAGCCAGGCGTCGGGGATTGGGTGTGGGCGCGCTGGAGATGAGCAGCGAGTGGGCGTCGGGCCTCCTCCACCTCGTCGCCTCCTCATCTCTCCCCACTCTGTTGCGGCCGAATGCAACGTTTCGCCGGCGAAGGGAAGGCTCTCGAAGCGAGCGAGCGTCAAGCTCCGAGCAACGTTGCCAGTTGCGGAAGCCAGGCCCGGGATGTGAGCGGTCGGACCGTTCGAGCCATGGCACGAGGCGCGCTGCGATCTGGACCGGGAGAGGCTGCTCCGCGACTTGCGATGGGCCTGGCAGGGCGAACTGGGGTGCCCGGGGCAGCGAGCGGCACGCGCGCGAGATGTCTAGATGGCAGATGGAAGCATCTCGCGGCGTTGGCGTGAGAGGGAGGATTTGACAGGTGTGAATGGCCAATGGGGCTGCAGGAAGGCTGTGCGATGCGACGAAGAGGGGGGGCCCAGATCGCCTTGCAGAAGGCAATGCAGTCATCATGCACATCAGGTGAATGCAACGACTGCATCGAAACGGCGGCCAGGAAAACGGAAAGCGACGACAACCGGCGACTGACGACTGACGATTATCGACTGACGACGACGACGACGACTAGGCAAACGCACACGTTCTCACCGCCCGCCCATCGCAATGCCGGACGGGCACGGCGGGGGGTGCGCAGTGCTTTTGTCGCTAGCGGGAGTCGATGCGACGCTGGGCTTGCGTTTCAGGGGCACCAGCCAGCTCGACTCCACGGAGACGACGCAAATCCGGCACCTGCGGATTTGAGGGGAGGGGGAGGTTTTTGCGGGCGCGACAGCCGCGGGCACGAACCGGGCAAGATTTTCATGGCATAGCGTAGGCTGGCCAGCGCACCTCCGCGCCGCTCCGCAACGCAACTTCCAACGACGAGCGTAACATAGAGGTGCAATAGACAGAACATCACACACAAAACAATCGTCGGTGCACATGCATGCATGCAGGGCAGCCTAGCGAGAGGCCTGGCGCGCTTCCGTCCGCCGCCACTTCCTTTTCCCGCCGCGTCGGTCCGTTTGCTCAAGAAAAATATTCCCTGCCCTTGGTCGGCGCTCGGGCCGGCGCAGTGCTCTATCCTTCAGAATTTTCCCAATTGTTTGTCGTTGGCGGCAGATGCCTGACCGGCGCGGCCTGACTAAGCCTAGAGCTAGACGCCAGGGACGCCAGGGACGCCTCTTTTCATCGGCCCGCGCCCTGTCTCGTTTGAAGGCCGGCAAGCGGGTGCCGCCTTCGACGTCAGCAGCTTTGGTGGTACCTGGCAGGATTTTGGGATGGGGTTTCTGCACGGCACGGCACCGCGGTTGGCGGCGGGTGATGTGCGTTTGTTCTACTCTAGGGATGGCAAGTGACCAGCGAACCTGAGCTCCGTGACCGCTTGAAACCTTGGGCTGCGCGAATCACAGGGTGGGAAGCTGAGGTGGTGCTCCGGTGCGCTGATCCTCCCTCCTTGGCCACCTCAGCCCTACAGCAACCTAAGGAACCTAAGCTTCAGGCGCGCCGGCAACTCCTTTATCGAGGGCCTGATCGGCTTGGCGGCACATCAACGCCGCGCTGCTGCCCGAATGGGTCTCGATAGCTTTCGGGATCCATAATTCGCATTGCAACCTGCACCGGGTTGCCTTTGTGATCAGTTCCGAGTCGGTGGTGGGCAGACTCTTCGGCGAGAATGAGGCGCTTTCTCGGGTGCAGTGGGTCCCAACATGGTCACGGACCCCAGTCGCCCGAGTCGGCGCCTCACGCACCATCAAGCCTTGCCGAATCGCGTGTGCCTCGACCACGCCTCGACCTCACCAATGTGCCAAGCCCTGGGTAGCATCCCCCACCGACACGTTATTCTCCGGCTGGAGCTTCAGTATCCCCGGTGGACGACATCATCCTCCGCCATTTGGCGAAACCTACCGTTTTGCCCCATGGTCCCCATCATCGCACCTTTGCTATAAATCTAGTCTTTTGCCCTTCCTCGCTTCGGTCCACACCTCTCCCTCTCTCTCTATCTCTCTCTGTGCCTGCCTGCTCAACACAACTCCCAGGGCACTCTCTCTCCCATCTCTCACAATGGGTCTCTTCAGCAAGAAATCCGACGCCGTCGAGGCCGGCGTCCACGAGAAGGACAGCCCCGCCAACACCACTCCCGCCGAGTCGGTTGGCGGCCGCGACGCCCCTCTTCCCCAGCACAAGGTGCCCTTCATCGCCATCCTGCTCGGTGCCATCGCCTCCGTCGGTGGCTTCATGTTCGGTTATGAGTCTGGTCAGATTTCTGGCTTCATGCAAATGACCGACTTCAAGGACCGCTTCTCCGACAATGGCAACTTCAACGCCGCCCGCTCCGGTACCATTGTCGGTCTGATGTGTATTGGTACCCTGCTTGGCTGTCTCATCTCCGCTCCCATGGCCGACAAGTTTGGTCGCAAGTACACCATCTCCTTCTGGGCTTTCGGCTACATTGTCGGTGTCATCATCGAAATCACCTCCACGACCGAGTGGGTGCAGTTCGCCATCGGCCGTCTCATTGCTGGTTTCGGTATCGGCTCGCTCTCCACCTGCGTTCCCATGTACCAGTCCGAGTCGATCCCCAGGTCCATCCGTGGCGCCGTCGTCTCTTCGTACCAGCTGTTCATCACCCTGGGTATCTGGACCGCCTACATGGTAAGTTGCCTAAAGCAGCCTAACGCCAAACTCTCCCGCAGCGGCTAACATGACTTGCAGATCAACTACGGCACTGAGGACACTTACCACAACAGCGCCCAGTGGCGCATTCCCAACGGCCTGTCTGCGCTGTGGGCTATCCTGCTCGGCTCGTCGATCCTGTTCATGCCCGAGTCCCCTCGCTGGGCGTACCGTGTTGGCCGCATCGAGGAGGCCCGCATCACCATGGCCCGCCTCAACGGCTGTGCCACCGACGACCCGCTCATCAACCAGGAGATTGCCGACATTGAGGAGAAGCTGCAGGCCGAGCGTGCCGGTGGCCACCACAACTGGTACGAGATCTTCACTGGTCCTCGTATGCTCTACCGCACCATTCTCGGTATGACTCTCCAGGCCGGTCAGCAACTCACGGGCGCCAACTTCTTCTTCTACTACGGCACGACCATCTTCAAGGCCACTGGTCTCTCCAACTCGTACGTCACGTCGATCATTCTCGGCTCCGTCAACGTCGGTGCTACCGTCGCTGGTCTGTGGATCGTTGAGAACTGCGGTCGCCGCAAGTCGCTGATGACGGGTGCTGCCGTTGCCTTCGTCTGCTTCATGATCTACTCGTTCGTCGGCCACTTCCAGCTCACGCTGCACCATGGCGACCAGGCCCAGGCCGGCAGCGTTCTGATTGTCTTCACGTGCTTCTTCATTGTCGCCTTCGCCACGACCTGGGGTCCCATGGTGTGGGCGATTGTTGGCGAGCTGTACCCTGCGCGGTACCGCGCGACGTGCATGGCTCTGGCAACGGCGGCCAACTGGCTGTTCAACTTCCTGATCTCGTTCTTCTCGACGTTCATCACGGACGCGATCGACTACTTCTACGGTCTCGTCTTCGGCGGCTGCTGCTTCGCGTTGTTCTGGATCGTCTACTTCTTCATGATCGAGTCCAAGGGCCGTTCCCTTGAGGAGATCGACACCATGTACATGCTGCACGTCAACCCCATCACTTCCGCCAAGTGGGACTCGAGCAGCCTGCGCCAGGACGGCGCCCCCACCACCGACCAGCTGTACCTGGCCAACGGCGGGCGCCGCATCGTCAAGGACGAGGAGGCCGGCGTCGGCGGCGTGCGCAGCAAGAGCATCCACCACGAGAATGCTGCCGATGCCGCTGCCGACGAGGACAAGATCTAAGCCAGCGGTCTTTGTTGTTGCGTTTTTCTCTTTGAAGCTTTTTGAAACGATCACACACACTCTCCTATTTCGGCTCCGCGGTTGGCGCGCTCTATTACCTACGTAGTGCGCGCGCGGGCCTGACGCGTACACGTTGCATCTGTCCATCTATCTATCTCTCTACACCTCTACCTATCTCACCACACTACACTACACTACAGCGTCATCACAGCAACGTCGTTTGTTGTTCGTTAAAGATGTTTGTTGCTCGTTGGCTTGCTTGCTTGCATAGCGCATCAGGAAGGACCTCTCGGCTGGCTGGCTCTGGCTCTAGACCGGAGGAAGGGTGCTGGTGTCGGTGTTGGTATTATTTGGGGTTTTTAACGTCTTTATTATTGTTAATTTATATGCTTGGCCCGTCGCCGTCACTGGAGGATGGGCATGGGCGGGGAAGCTAAAATGGGTGGGGCTGGTTTGGGTGGGGTTTCTGTATTGTTAATGGGTGGGTGGTTGGGATGGGAGGATGCTTAGGGGTGGGAGGGGCGAGACTAGTCCTCCGCCGCGTTTTATTATACCATACCAACGATGAGGTTTGACTCTGTCTTTGTTTTTACTCGATGCTACTGCTGCTGCTGCTAAGCTTTACGCGGTGACGACTTTGGTTTTATGGGCGGTAATTTTTGGTGTGTAGGTGTGTGGGTGGGGTGGATGGGGTGTTGGGGGTGAGTGAGATAAGTTAGAGGGGTGAGTGCGGATAGGGGAGTAAGTATAATACGCTAATACCCTACCTTACTTTTCTATTTTCTTTCTTTCCTATCCTTTACATTCTTCCTAAATATACAACTTACTTAAGGATACTACTGACGAACGCGCGCGATATAGGGATATAGGGAGATGGGATTTCTTCCGCTCTACGCTATACTGCTTACCGCCCTCGGTACCCTCCTTTATACCGTTATTTCTTCGTGCCGACGTTCCTACCTCTCTACTGCCGCCGTCGCTGCTACCGTACCGTTACCGTCGTTACCGTCGTCGTCGATGTCCTTCTACCGTATACGGAGGGTAGTGGGTGTGTACGAGATATGTATTACGTGCTGGTGTGGTTGGGGCTGGGAGTAGGAGGTGGGGAGTGGGTTAAGAGCTGGTGATGACGTGGTGATGGATGGATTATGGAAGTATGCGTTTACTGTGTTCTCGCTCTATCAATGATGGCGATGGCGATGGACGCACTCTACTCCTACAGTACAAGGAGTCAACATCACCGACCCTCCCTCCTTCCGACTACGATCCTTACACCCACCGAACGAACGAACGAACCACCGACCGATCGATCGATATCGACATCGACATTGACAGCGGCATCATACAAACACGCGCACACGCACACGCACACACCTACATCATGCATATAGTGGATGCGCTGAATGCATGGATGCACGCTCCACGCGTGCGCCGATCCTCGATCTTCGATCTTCGCGCCCCGATTCGATCTCACTGATGATGCGGGTGGATTCCTTGCCCACCGCCGAGTATTTGGCCGATGCTTGTCCTCGTCGCGGTCTGCGATGCGTGATGCGATGCGATGCGATGATGGCGATGATGGCGGTGATGACGGTGGTGGCGAGGGGTGAGGTGGGTTGGGCTGTTGGGTGGATGGTAGGGGCGCGATGGGGCTGGTGATGGATGAGGGGTGGAAGAGATGGGTGTGGTGGCGGTTGTGGATGTGCGGACAGACGACACCGCGCTTTTGCCCGTGCGATTGCTCGCTCATCACCATTGGTGTGCATGAGCGCGTCATGGCTGGGGATAGGCATGTGAGCACGAGGGGATAGATGGAGGTGCGATGGGATGGGATGGGGGGGAGGGTGATAAAGAGCACGAACAAACGAACGGACGCACCACCACGCACCACTACCACCACCGCCACGACGCTCACCTATCCCGTCACCATCGTCTATCCGAACAAGGCACAAGCCGCTAATCCAAGCCATCGCACCGGTCTCTCCGCCCTCCGCCTCTCCGCTCTCGCTCCCGCTCCCGCCCTTCCCGCACCGCAGCAGCGCAGCGAACCCACCATATCCAGGTCAGCAACAATGCCAGTACGCACGCACGTATACCCAGTCCAACCGCTCGCGCCCGGTAGGCTGCGAGGAGAGCGAGCGAGCGAGCAGCCCCGGTCGATAGCAAGCCCGCATTTAAAATCCTGCAGCCGGCGTAACGGAGATGGCTGGCTATCCTGCTCTGTAGGCGTAAATGCCTGACCGCATGCGGCTTTAAGTGTTTTGGTGGTGGTGGTGATGGAGGCGGCGATGCTGCGTGCATCACTGGCTACTGGCTAAAAATGCGGATGGGGCGGAAAGAGTGATGCGGATAGAGTTAGACGAGGTAGGTACTGCTCTAGTAAGTGTATACTTGGTGTGTTATAGGGCCGGGCGGGCCATATTGCGTTAGCTAGGATAAGTGAGTAAGTTTATGGCGTTGGTGGTACGAAGGCGGGAATGGTTGTAGTGCTGATCTTGCTGTATCCTGTAGAATGAGGTGTCCTGAATTGGCCTCGCTTTATTATAGGTAAAGAGTTTTTCTTCGTTTGAGAAGTTGCGGAGAACGACGTTATACGGAGAAGGAGTATTTGAATTTCGGAAAAGAGCTCGGCTGTAGTCTTACAGAGAAGAGCCTTGCGGAGCCCGCGTTTCTGAATTTAGGATTTCCGTCTAGTCTCTAACTATTAGCGATTTTGAATAGTCTGATGAGTAGGTATTACTGCCTAATGACATTTATAGATAAAAATATATACGATGTTTATAATAACTCCTTAAGAGGTATTGTAGTGTCTGTCCGTAGAAGATGTAAGAAACAGCCCGCAAAATGACAGCCCGCTTGCATGGGAAATAACATATGACGCAATGCCTGTGTTTAGTGAGCCGTAACAGAATGCGGGGTTTGGGTTTTGAAACTGAAATGTCCGTGTTCTGGACAACTGCCTCATTGAGACTAGCGCAGCAGATGACAGAAAGGCTGGAGCGAGCGCAGTATGGAGAACAAATCCAGGAGCGAGCCTGGTACCGATAGAAACTGGCTTTGCGCGTGGACACGGATAGCTTGCCGGACCCTTGATCATAAGATCAGCATCTGACAGTGGAAGATTCCAGGTGTGGATGGTAATACTTGACTTTGCTATAGGTCTAAATGGTCCTTTCCCTACCCGAAAAAAGATTTCTCTTGGCCTTGCCGCTGTTGTAATCTCCTCATGGCTTTCGTATCCTTCGTGCGCTCTTGGCTCTGCTCTGCTGGTGTCCGCTGTGCTCCAGTGACTCCATGTCTGCGGGCTCTCAAGCCACCCGCGGACATGGACGAGGGTCATCTCGAAACCTGGCCATCGGAAATCCTCTGTCACAGTGGTTCAAAGCCGCGGGCTTGGGATGCGCGTTAATATAACAAGGCCGCGGGTATAGCAGCGCTGGATGGGGTGATGTGAATTTGCTTTTCTTCTGTGCTACACCTTCTGCATATGTCGTGACTTCTCACTTCGGTTTCTTCGACTTTGCTTTCGTCGTCCTGTACTTACGATTTCAGTGGTCTGTATGATGGGTAGTTAGCCTTTCTTGAATGTGGTACGTCTTGCTTATAATGCAGGCTGCGGTGATCCCTTTACGGCTTTCGTTATCTTTACCATAAATTAAAAGCCTTGCTATTATTATCTCCGTATAGAGGGATCGAATTATCAATCCTAGGTTTTAGTGAGCGGATATTGTCGAGATATTAATATTGATTTCTCGGATACTCGTTCCTATTTGAATAGATTCTTTGTAAATTTTGGAAGCCTACAAATATTTTTTCGAACGGCTTTTTCATTTACCATCACCACGCCCCCTTAAACAAAGATATATCTCTTACCACAACTGAAAATATTATGCCGGGAATGGGAGGTAGAATACCATTGTCGCCCATTATCTTGTTTAACCTAGGTGCTTTCTTTGGTGTTGTGATACATTAATTACGGTGCCCTGCCGAACATTTCCCATTCCAGGGGTAGCGGTCCGCTGACCCCGCTCGCTAATGAGATGGCATTGCGTCTCTGCCGCGGCAGTAGTGGGATAGCAGGGAAGTTGATAGGCGCTAACGTGGAATGTCCTTCCCGGGCGTCTAGAAATTTCGGAGTTATAATGTCCCAGGTGGTTTCATCCGCATTAGGTGGTAGTAATCCTTCCGGAGTCTCTTGTGTGTGATTTTGGAACTCTATATCAGAGTTGTAGGCCTCAGGCCCTTGGTTCCATGAAAGTGTGCTATGGCTGGCGGAGCTTGTAGGTTGCTTGTCCAACACATCTGATCCTCGAGCATTGCTCTGAGACCCTTTAGTACCACCATTTGCTGACTCGTCGCCAGTGGAATAGTCTGCCCTTGGCAAGGCAAACATTGCAATCTGCTCAAGGTGTCGCGAAACATGAAGTTTGAAGTTGCTGGTGGTCCTCAGACACAAATTGCAGAGTCCCCCGGAAGAGTTCAACTTGCGTCGAAAAAGGTCAAGCATTCGGAGTGAGTTATCTCTATCCAGAGCCTGGTCGTGATCTTCTTTCATATGCTTTCCGAAATCACTTTGTGATGTGTATGGCTTATGTCCGTCCGTATTACAAGAATATTTCACTCGGTGGAATTGAGTCTCGTGATTGTACCAAGCATCCTTATCCTCGAAGAGGTGCTCTGATAGATCGCAATCTGGAAATGTGCATACATACGGCTGTATATCAGCCAATACATGCTTTCTGTTTAAGAGTCAGCAGTGGCTACCTAAGCGTTGACTGTAGAGTATGTATGTCGGGGATCTGCATCAGAGGGCCACAAAGACTGGGGAAAAACACATAAAACTTACTTCCAATCACGACTAGATCGAATATACGGTGTTGTTTGGCAGTATTTGCATATGAACTGTGCTATTCCAATGCCATCTTTGTTCCTTGGGCGCGGTGGAATTTCAATATGCAATTCACGTGTGAATGCACTTCCTGCCTTCGATGTCTTTGACTCGGACTCCGCAACTGATGGAGCAACAAGCTCATCAACCAGTAGAACTGGAACTAAAGGCGCAGCAAACGTCGTCGCTTTTGTCCGGTTGCTGCTCTCTGGCTGGCTCTGTGTTTTCGATTCATGGAGGTCCTTGTGTCTCACGCTCTGTGCTTCCCCAGAGTTGGTTGAGACACGTTCTGGCGTCTTCATGGTGATACTAGGTACCACCGAATTGGTCCGGAGGTTTATTTGATGACTTTGCCGGTAGAGAAACAGTTGTCGCCGTCGTGTTATCAACTTCCCCAGGCGTGTTGCTACCTGCTCATGAAGTTGTGGAAATTTGTCTTTCACATACAAAACATCAAAGTGTTGATAACATGATGTGTCATCTGTTGCCTTGTCGTTTAGGCGGTCGACTGGAGCAGGCCGTCGGATGGGAAATTTGTACAAGCATGTTACTGTGAGTTTGATCGACTCCAGAGGCCGAAGCAGCATAGCCAGATAGTCGTCAGCCTCTATGGGTTGCAGATCTGAAGAGGTTCCATTATCTGTCAGTGAGTTTGACGGTATTAGAAATGGTGATTCCTCGGTTAGATGTGTCTCATGTTGCCCTCCAGCTTCCATCGGTAGTGTTGGCAGTTCTTCATCTTCATCAGAGCTCTCTTCAGCAATATACGAATCGCTGAATTCGGAATCTGAGTCGGAAGAGAGCTCCGTGCAAACTGCAGGGTCAGTTGTTGCGAGACGCATCCCTAGAGAGATTTAGAGTTGATATTTTTTCCTTCGCAAATTAAAACAATACCTTCTTCTATCTACATAAATCAGTCAATTTTGATGGCAAGTGATGATGGAACCGAGATAGGATACATACATGATGATGCAGTATTGCCAATAGCCTTAAGACCTATGTCAAGGTCTCAAAGTCAGCAAATGGATTCAGGATATTTGGCTCGCCTTATAGCTTTACTGACTTGATCTTTGTAGAATGTTGCCTCTCTCAGTCTGTAATCCAAGGAGAGTTTGTAGAGCTTTCCAGAATGCGCAGCCCCGACATTGCCCGCCCACAGCTTGTATTTGTCGAACTCTTCAGAAACATCAACCAGATATTCTGCAGACTTCTCATATGCTAGGTCGTGTATAGCCGTAATAAAGTTTTCGAAAGCTATGTAGCATTTTGCATGGCTCATAGCGATAGCAGCCGCCATTTCGGTTTTTTACTCCTCGACGTAGCGCCTGGCTGGCAGATCATGCGACGATTATAGAGAACCTGCTTTGGTCAACACGGGATTAGCCTAACATCATGAACATATGGGAGAAGAAGTAACCTGTCGGGAAGCACGTCTACGCTCGCTGCTAATGTGCTGTTTATGAGCCGATGTCGTCAAGCAGCTGAGGTGCTCGGCTGGCAAGGCTGCATAGTACAACCCCGGTCACTACCCCGCACCTGACCGGGCTGGATTACCTGAGGCTGAGCTCAGCCTTGCCTCGCAATTATGATATCCTCTCCATGGCTCTTAAACGGTCATAACTCGAACAAATTCAGGACGAACATGGCTGGTATTGAAGTCGCAGGTATTATCCTCGGCAGTATACCTCTTGCCATTAGTGCGCTCGAGCACTATGCTGAGGGAGTAAGTATGCTCTTTTACTCGATAGACATGGCTGATGAGCGTAGGTTTCGGTTATAAAGAGCATGAAACAATGGGAATACGAATTTCTCGACGCGGAAAAACTCCTCCTTCTGAATGTTACTATCTTCAAACAATCCTGCGAAGAGCTGTTGAGAGGACTCCAACTGCCAGATGACCAGTTTCGAGATCTAGTAGAGCACCACAAAGGGTGGGACGATGGTGAACTGATACAAAGGTTACGTCTTCATATGGGTAGCAGAAACTATGCCGTATACGAAGCATCGGTGTCATATCTGGATAGAAGGCTCGCGCGACTGCGGAAGAAGCTGTTGCTCAGGGATGATTTCACTGTGCGTGAGCCCCGTCGTTGCGTTTGGTTTGGCGGTCTCGAGGAAAATATCAACGGCAGCTGACCGTCTTTCAGGCCCCGTTCGTTGTTAATGGAGTTGTCGATGAGAGGTCCCGCAAGAAGTTTTTCAAAAAATCATGGTTGCGTATCAAGGGCGGCTTTGAAGCCGGCCGTGGGGAGTACAAGGAGCTGTTGGCGGAAATTGGTGACGTCATTGAGAAAATCGACCGGTTAACAACGGGAGCCCTCAACACCTCGGACGACATTCGCTCGAAGCAAGCTTACCGTCCGGCAACCTCCAAGTACTGGCTGGCCATACGCAATCATACTCAAGGACTGTATAAGGCCTTGTACTCGATTTGGGCTGGCAATTGCACTGCTCCACATCCACACCGTGCGAAACTTCGCCTGGAAATACCTAAAGCCCACGAGCCCGAACGTCCTCTATTTGGCCTGTCTTTCTTGCTGGGAGACAGACCTGTCAATGGCCGATGCTTATCTCCTGAGAAATGGCGTGATGTGAAGGTTCTGTCTTTGGAGACAGAGGTACTTGTTCCTCTGTAAGCCACTGTTTGCTACGACTTGACTCTATTTCAGCAAGAATGCCCAGATACGCCGCTTCTGACAATATATAGGCCACAAACTCAGTCCTATCCTTCCCAAAAAGACAAGAGAGCAGTACGCTTTGCGCCGGCTATTGTCATACAACCTGCCACTTTGCCTATCGCTGCACCTACGTCAAATCTCTGTACGTGTAGAAATGAGATAAGCAACTTATGTACAACTCTGAATGGCAAGACGTCTGTGGGAGCACAGAACAACTACTCCGGTCCGTGTCTGGGATTCCTTTCTGATTCCAAACGGCATTATCATCTCTACAGTGCGACCGGGCATGCAAATGAATTGATTCCTCTTCAAGACGTTCTCTACCGCAAAGCTGGGAAAGACATTGCTACCAAACAAAAGCAAGTTTTGTTCCATGGTTCATTCAGGAAAATACTAACACAATATCAGGTGCATGCTCGCTTTTGCTTTAGCCGCAACAGTACTACAGCTCTGCGAGACGCCATGGCTCCCCGAAGACTGGCAACTGAACGAGCTTTACCTTGACGACAGGGCAGAAGAGCAACAGCTATACATCTTAAAGACATTTGATCCTGCTACTACCTGCCAAATGCATCCCAGTAAGCGGCGTATGCGATCGATAATCAGAAACGAGACCCTATTCGCGCTTGGCGTCGCCCTCCTGGAGCTCGCATACGGCCAGCCGCTCTCGTCATTCCAGACAGATGATGATCTCAATGCGGACAAGAAGGAAGACGAGCTTACCCGTTGCAGCATCGCGCTGCGGCTCGTCGAGAACGTGCAGAAGCGGGAGCTCAAACGGTTTGCGCGGGCTGTTAGCAAGTGCATCACTCCTGATACGGATTCTGGATTCGACCTCAGGGATGATGGCTTCCGCAACCGATTCTACCAGGATGTTGTGCTACCGCTGCAAGAAGACTACGAGACGTTGTTTTGAGAAATGTTATTGGTGGAGCTTTGAGCCGGGCTTCGTGGTACTCGATATAACAGACGATGTTGTGGACCTGTATATTTGCATTCTCCTCGTGTGCTTCTGAGCAGTGTCTTTAGGCTAAATGATACCAAAGTATATCATATGTCCAATCGTCCGACTTACCGCGGTACAGTAATAGGTACTACCTTGGTGGCGATGGTGGCGAGTCGGGTGGATGGCAGGGTGGTTGAGCCGCGCGGGGCCGAAGAAATCCCACCTAGGCTGGGTCACTGATGCCTGAGGCATGAAAGACGGCACGTGATGTTTGATGTCGCGATCATACTTGCACGCAGGTTTCACATGCGAATGCGCGATGGGCAAGTTATTAATTGGGACAAGCCGTCGTGGTTACCCCCGGAATGCAACGGTCAAGCGCCCAACAGCGGCGGACAGGCGCGGATCCAAGCGGAGTGAGCTCCGACCGCTGGCCGGTTGTGATTGGTTGCATTTCAAAGCTCACCGTACCTGGCTATGTACTTTCGCCTTCAGACCAATCCGATTCCTCTCCCAGGGCATGACCGCCTAGTTTGTTCTTCCCCCCACACACCCGCCCGACTCGGAGTTTGTTCCGACTGTCACTGTTCTATCTCACCTTTCCAAGAGCCCCAATAGCCGTCCATCTCTTACCTCTATTGCCCTTTCCATTTGTGCCTACCCGTAAGGCCTTCCATCGCCACCCATCGCAGACCGACAGCTCCTTTCGATTCGAGTTCAACAACCTACCATCAGCCGCGCTACTCTCTGTCGCCCGCTGCACTCGCGGCGCAACAAACAGAACGCACTGAACCCAATGATTCGGGTGATTAAATCTTGCGCATAGGCGTCAAACGATCCAATTCAACGCCCGATGCTCGAAGCTTTCCGATCGGTCGCGCCAGTGTACCCACAGCAAACCCTACGCTGCGCTCGCCGGTACGATGCCACCAAAACAAAGCCCCCATCAGGCTAGGCCTGCCCCGTCGTCTTCGGCGTCGAATACACATCCAAAGACCAGCTCAAACTTGCGACACTCATTCCAAGTCCAACCGCCCCAACCTGATAAAAGGGAGTTAAGCAACCCGGCAATGGGCCCCATTGGCCCATCGGTAGAAGGCATAAGCGGATCTGGAAAGATTGCGATACCGAAACTGCGGCGTGAGAGCGATTATAATGCTGGAACAACCAGCGGGAGCAAGAAAAGAACTTCCCGGGCTTGTGCAGAGTGTCGCGCACGGAAGATCAAATGCAGTGGCAGGCAGCCAACCTGTGACCATTGCGAACTGTGTCAGCTGCCTTGTCTGTACGTGGAGGGTAAAAGAGAACATAACAAAAAGTAAGCCTCCACCCCTACGGCTCCAGTAAACAAGTCCACTGATGTGTGTTTAGAGGCCTCGAACGAGGTGACCGCATGCTTTTATTACTGAAAGACATCGGCTCTCAAGTAGATCTTTCACCGGAAATGCACGAAAGGATACAATCCATCCAAACTGAGGTGTGTTAGCAACATCGTGGTCAATAGCAGCCGCATCATCGTCCATATACCAGCGTCCTATCGTCCATGGACGAAAACGCGGCGGTGAATTGGACCCAATAGCTTACTGCTTTGGTAGGTTGAGGGCGAAGAGTCTTTCACCGAATCTACTGAAATCTCGAATTCACTGAAACGTCGTCTATCCGCAACTGCCGCAAGCGAAAAACGCCAAAAATCCAACCCCCCCGGGACTGATGCCGGGTGTGAAGCCGACGTATCTGCCGAAGTCGGTTCCCAGGAGTCAGTCGATTTAGCCCATGAAGACTACAACGAAGACGAAAAAACCAGAGCCACTGGCTTTATTGGACAAAACTCGGAAGTAATGTGGGCCCAGCGTCTCGCAGAGGAACAAAACTTAGGCGATGATCCAGCCCCGGAAAACCACGATTTTGGTCCCTATGGCGAGCCTGGCGTGAGTGAATCGGCCAGAGAAGGGCGGTTGTCTGCTAGCAAGAAGCGTCATTCGACACAGCGAGCAAATCCAGGAAAGATCTCCGCCTTCACATATCACCTTGACGACAACGACGTCCTTCTCCTCGATTGCGTGGAGGAAAACGAACTCCCGCCAGTAGATATAGCGAGGCAGCACTTTGACTGTTATATGTCAACCGTTCATGATATTATCCCTATCCTTTCGAGGACAGACTTTACAGATCAGTTTGAGAAGTACTTGGACTGCCAAGATCCGGAAAGACTGTCCAAGAAATGGCGCGCCATCTTGAATTTGGTTTTCGCCATAGGATCAACTTTTGCTCATCTTGTCCAAGCAGCCTGGTGCGGTGACGAGCGCGATCACCGGGTATATTACACCCGCGCATATACTCTCGGTATTTTTCCAGAGGCTATGGTGGCACACCCTGACTTACAGAGCGTTCAAATACTCGGCATGACCGCATTCTACTATCTGACCATCAGCCAGATCAACAGGTAAGCCTAAAATGAGACAGGTTCTTGCTATTTGCATAGCCCATGAAAACACTAATTACTGACTATATCCTTGCTCAGGGCTTGGGTTACCATTGGCATAGCATGCCGGCATGCAGTCGCATTAGGCCTCCACCTCCGTATGGAAAACAATTCCCTCTCTCTCATTGCCAAAGAGAAAAGAGTGCGCGCCTGGTGGTCCCTTTATCTCATAGAACACCTTCTCTGCGAGATTACAGGCCGTCCAACGTCAATCAACCACCAGTTCTGCTCAGTGCGGATGCCCGCTCCCATCAATGAAACAAGTCTCTCGACTCAAACAGGTCTGACCAAGCTTGAAAGATGGGACCAAATGACCGATCTTTGGCGTTCTCCTGCGGATAATAACGAAATACTATTCGAAAGCGGCTCCGAGAAGGACAGCAAGTCTAAGGACTTGGCAAATGATTCAAGTCACTTTAAACATCGCATCCAGCTCGCTATCCTTACCCAGAAGATATTTGTCAATCTCTACTCGGCTGACACTCCCATAAAGTCCTGGGAAAGAGCTCAGTCAGATATCGTCGCACTACTACAAGAGGTAGATGGCTGGTATAGCGCCCTTCCACCGGAATTCCAATTTGGGCGCATTTTGAGCCCGGACCATGATCGCAAAAGGGTCCTTCTGGCGTTCATGTTCTACAGCTCCAAGATTTTACTTAGCCGCCCTTGCCTCTGCCGCATAGATTTACGGGTGCCCAAACAAGGAGCCAAATCCAAAGACTTGAACAACAGGATGGCACGCGAGTGCGTAGTATCGGCAAGAAGCATTGCCAACCTGTTCCCAGAGGACGTTGACAGCCGATGGGTTTACAGGAAGGGTCCGTGGTGGTGCATCGTCCATCATATCATGCAAGCCATGGCCATTCTCATGTTAGAGCTGGCCTTTCAAGGCCGCCACATGGCGGAGCCTGGATTGGACAAAGGTGCAATCATCGAGGCAGCCGAAAAGCTCACGAAATGGCTGGTGCGGATGGCGGAGGACGGGAATGAAGCCGCCAAGTCCGCTTGCAGGCAACTGCGGGCACAGTTCATGGGCTTCAGGGGTAAAGCGAACATAAACGTGGCCCAGCTCGAGAAGGTCATAGAAAAGTACTGGACAAATACGGAAATGGGCTCGGATGCTGGAAGCCAGAGGCAGTCTCAAGGGCCTCAGCACAACCCCACAAGATCGTGGAACTTTTCTGCCGATGAACGAATGGAGGGATATCCGACACAAATGCCACAAGGATCGCTCAGTCAGTACGATCAATTCGTGCAGACTTCCGGCGAAGCATCCGCGCAACCATGGGCCTATGCAAACGTACAAACAACGCCATCCCAGAACGCTCAAAGCCCTTTACAGGGGGGCCAGGGCCCTGTAGATGTCTGGCAGCAAGAGCTGGACGCATCCATGTATCCACTATGGCCACCGCTCGACCCTGCAGATAACTGGAACGCCATGATGTGGCAGACGATGTTCGACACGGGCAACCCTTTCAGCATGTCCTCGGATCTGCCCATCATGGGCTATGCCAGCTCCGGTCCCTTTTTACAATCCGAGACGGCGCCCCAACAGGAGAACGTGATGCAGTCAGCGTACCCGATGCCCCAACCGGCGCAGATGGGCATATCTGCCGCGCCACTGTTCGCTGCCCACGCCGGTCCTGTCCGTGGTTTCCAAGGGAGCTCGATATACGACCCGCCGGATATTGAGCGCCATTTTGGTGTCGGCATCGATGCGACGGGACCGATGGGAGAAGATGCAGGGTATGGGGATGCCGAAGCGGGGGAGCAGAATGAGCCGCGCCATCCGTATTACAACACCAGGTCTTCTGGAAACAATTAGCGGATGAGAATAGGTGGCGGGTCGGTGGCGTGCGATCATGTGCAAAAGAGGGGGTCTTGTGGTGGTGGTCTCGTGCGCTGCAGAACGCGCGCTTGCTTTTTCGCCGCTCCGCCACGGTGTCTGTCGTTACTTCGGCGAAGAGAGACGCCTCTGGCGGCGCCGCGTCCTTCACTCGGGCAGCAGCCTGACAAGAAGCTTCCTGCTTGGGCCACGAGACAAGTGCACGCACTTACACGCCGTTGTTTCTTTGTTCTTTTTCTTCTAGCACAGATGCTCTGACTGTACGACCTTTCCCCCTGGATTACACATGTGGCTCCGCTACTCTTCTACTTTTGTGGGTTTCTTCGCTCCCTTCGCTGCCATTTACCGGCTGGGCTGGCTGCTAGTCTTGCTTCCAAAGCGCTCATTAAGTCCTCGCGTTTGCGCGGCGCTGGCGGTTTCTTTCGTTTCGTTTCGTTTCGTGGTTTAATGTTGTTGTTGTTGTTGTTGTAGTCGGCGTAGTTCTTTTCCATCACCACTACAGCCTTTACTTCACCACCAACAATGGTCATCACGACAACGACAATGACGTTTCACTCTTCATTTTCTTTTACGGTGGCCGGCTTCTTGGTTTGTTGGCTGATGATACCATGATATGATACGATGGCGCTTTTTTTGGTCTTTCTTTCCTTCTTTCCTTTCCGTCATTGTCGTGATTCCGCTCTGCTGATGGTAAGCAAAGGGTATTATGCAAATGCGCGGTGCATGGCTTGCTTGGCCTGCTTGCTTGCTTGCTTTCTTCCTTTCCGTCTTTCTTCCTTCCTGGCATGGCGGGCAGATTGTCGGCTTGTGGGTGCAGGCGCGCGCGCGCGCGTGATTAGTTGGGCTCTTTTGTTTTGTTTTTGGCTGGGTCTGGGTGCTGGGGCTTGGTTGCTCGGTGGTGCTGTTTGCACGTGCATCTGTAGGAGTGTGCATGCGTGCGGGCGGGCGTGCGGGTGGGGATGGCGAGTAGAGGGGAGTAGAGGGGAGGCGGGAGAGGATGCGAGGTTTTGCGTTGGATGGCTGGATGGCTGGATGGCTGGGTGGCTGGAGGGACGGCTTACATATGGCACAGAATGCAGGCTTGCGGATGAGCGGGTTACTTGCTTACATACAGTAGTTATGTGAATAGTGGATGGTTGGGTGTGTGCTGCCTGAGCGAATGCGGAGTGTGTGTGTGCTTGCTGTGGCGTGGAGTAGCGTACCGTGAGCGTCATCTCACCTCTTCCTCTTTTCCCTCTTCCTGAGCGTGTGGGCGCGCGTGCGCGATGCTTTCGTTTGTCCGTTTGTTCGTGAGCGCGTGCAGGGCAGACAGCAGCCAAGGCGTCGTGCTTTCCTGCCTGCCTAGGTAGCTACCTACATAGCTCTCTGCTTTTCTGTCGCTCTCATCCCTCTTTCGTCTGCTCGCTCGTTCGCTCGTCCGCTCCTCTTGTTCGGCCGCGATCGCCCATGCCGGTGTTCTTGCCCTCGATGAGCAGATGTGGTGTGGTGGGATGAGATGCATGGATGGGGTAGAGATGGGTGGCAGGCTCTACCTAGGTAGTCTTTGTATGTATGTATGTATGTATGTATTTGATAGGTACATACACACACACATCCACACCGCGTTGCGTCGCATCGCAGCACATCGTCGCGCGCCCCATTGGCCAACACGAACGAACGAACGAACGACGAAAAAAGACAAACTGCAACCATCAAGCACAAAACGCCAAATGTGACAGACAGGTAGCTAGCTAGCCAGCGGGGGGGATGTGATAGGTTAGGCCAAGGCGACGGCCTCGCCACCGTGACTGTGACCGCTCTGTTCTCCACAAATGGTGGTGGTGGTGGTGGTGTGAGCTGCCATTTTCTTTTTTCTGCGCGCACGTTTGTGTGCTCCTGTGCTCTTTCGATTTATTTATTTTTTCTTTTTTTTTTTTTCTTGTCTGTGTTTGGCTTGGGCTTTGGCCATGGAGGTGGCACTGCGCCTTGGTCGGCGGCTGGGGTTGGGGTTGGCTGCTTGCTTGGCTGCAGCGCGCAATTCGTCGCGGTTGGTTGGTTGGTTGAGGGCGCGCTTGCTGCGCTGCTGCGAGGCGCTGTGATGTGCGGTGCGGTGCTGCAGTGTGTGTGTGGCTGGGTCTGGGGACGAGCGGCAGGGCGGCGGGCCAGCACTGCAACCTACAGTACCTACCTACAACACAACCTGCAACGCGCGCGCCGCCGGCGGCGTCTTGCTTGCTTGCTTGCTTCCTTTCTTTTCGTCTGCTCCTGCTCCTACTACTGCTACTGCCGCTGTAGCGACAGTACCTACATACAAGCGCGCACGCACGCACGCACCTACGCTACTCCTACCTACAGTACCTATCGCGCGCGATCCATAACGGCGCAACGGCGCGGCGTGGCGGGCGAAGGACGAAGGATGACAGAGGCAAAAAGAAAGAAAGACGGCGGACGAAGGACGGAAGGATGGAGGGCGGAAGACGAAGAGCGGAAGGAGCAGGAAGGAGGAGCCGCAAATGCGCAATCCGCGATGGATACGGCAAGGCTGGAGCGGGACGGGGAAGGAGTTGGAAGGGCCGACTGCCCGGCTAGCTGGCTTTGGGCTTGTGGGATGGGATGGCATGGGAAGCGGGGTTGGGGGGCCGTGCCGTCGTGCCGACAGAAGATGGAGGGTTGTGGTGGTGGTGGTGGGCTGGTGGCGGGATCCCTACCTTTGTATGTACTCTACTGTACCTGGGTACCTGCTTATGTAGGTGTGTGTATGTGTATGTTTTGTGTGTGTGTACCTACATACGGCTGCGGTGCTGTGTTGTTGTTTCAGGGCGCGCAGAGTGCATGCGTGCGTGGGTGCCACGGCGTGTGGTGAGACCGGTGAGAGGGCCGAGGGACGGGACTCACCGAGAGCGAGCGCGCTAGCTGCGTGCTGTCTGCCCGTGTGCTCGAGGACAAACTCTAGAGAGAGGGAGGAAGCACCAAGCTCGGCGTTCGATCGCTTCGCCTCGCATCGCATCTGGACTCTGGCAAACGCGCGCCGCGTGCCCACGAAACTCGGGCGGTGGCTGCAGTCTACACGTCAAGCGGGTTAAGGAGACGGCACTGGACGGCAGCCACGAGAGCGTCATTATGGGGCCTGGCGTTGGTGGTTCGTATTCGGCTGCTGCATGCTGCCACTGCGGGCCCCTCCACACTTTGCGAGTCGCGCGCGGCGCTGGGCGCCCCAGATAGATCTGCTAGCCATGTCTCTCGTCGGCGGCGTCGATCCGCCCAACCCGCCAACCGCCAGCAGGCGCCTATCCGTGCATATGTATGCACGCAGGTACACGCGCCGAAAATCCTACATAGTTACCTAGTTATGCACCTCGCCGCCTCCGACCGACCGACCGGCCGTCCGTCTCTGTCCCTCCTTCTTCTTCTCTCCCTCTACCGCCCTCGCACAGCAGCAGTGTCAGCGCAATGATAGTACGAGCCCGTATCGGACGCCACGAGGGGCAGCCCTCATTTCGCTGGCTCGTATCGGCGGCCCATCAAGCTTCGCCGGGCTAGGCCTGTTCCTGCAGCCAAAGGCCCGTTTCGCGGTGCCGTTGGGCGCGTGGCGCCTTGGCAAGGCTTGCACTGCAGCTTCACGGGTTGTTTTTGGATACGGCCGCAGGGATCCGAAACTCCCCGCGCGCGCATGAATCTGTGTGGTAGGTAGTGTGCTGGCTGGCGGGCCATGATGGAGGGGGGATTTTTTTTTTTTTTTTTTTTTTTTTTTTTTTTTACTACATAGAAGCGACTGGTCCCACTCCTCCCTCGTTTTTTGGGCTTGTGAGAATTGCTGCTCTCCCCTACTCCAACCCTCGTTCTCTACTTACTTACCTTACCGCCTTGTCACCCCATTCTTTGGTGCTTGGCTTTCCGCCCGTTGGTTTGTTTGGTTTGTGAGAGTGTGGCTATCACCACCACAAACAATCTCCCTCTTTCACCGCCAACGTCTATCGCTCTTTCCTTTTCCCACCGGTACGTCACTCATCACTCCTGCCGTGCGACGATCAGCCTCAAATCCATCGGGCGGGTCCTCGCGAACGCACCTCCCAGCCTCTGCCCCCTCCCGCCGTCCATACCTATCTTCTTTATTCAAAGCCCTCGCCCGGCCGGCCCATTGCATATGATCAACCCTCATGCTCATCATCTCTTTGCTCCAGATTAAGACGGCTTCATGAAGATTTCTCTCATCGCGCTCGGCCTCAGCGCCGCCGCGCTCTCTAATGCCAACATCATCTTCAACAAGATCCAGCCTACCTGCGACCACTCCACCCTGGGCCACTCTGGTTGCTTGCGCGGACAGACCTGCCTCGAGGACAACACGTGAGAACCCATCTCCGCCGCCGCCGCAACTTCACTTTTGCTAACCTTCCTCCCCAGTTGCAAGGCTGTCGTCGAGCCCCGGGGCAACTATGGCACCCACCAGCGCGGCTCCGTGAACCTCCCGCGTGCCGTTGCCGCGCGTGCCGACGGCCGCTGCGGAAGGGACTTTGGCGGCGCGTCCTGCGATGCCAATGGCGAATTCGGCGGATGCTGCAGGTGAGTTTGTCCACGCGTTACACGCCCACGCCCTCTAGTGCTGACCGATGTGGCAGTGATTACGGCTATTGCGGTAAGAGCGATGGCCACTGCCTCGTCGCCAATGGATGCCAGAACGGATGCAGCGACGCCGCTGCTCCCGTAACCACCAAGGTTGCTCCCGTTACGACTGAGGCTGCCGCCGCCACCAGCGCCGCTGCTGCCCCCCGTACCGACGGACGGTGCGGCAAGGATTTCGCCGGTGCCACTTGTGACTCCAACGGCGAGTACGGCGGCTGCTGTTCCGAGTTTGGGTGCGCATTCCCGCAATGTTTTCGGCTCGACTCGATTGCTAACGCAAATCTAGCTTCTGCGGCAAGACTGATGGTCACTGCCTCGTCGCCAACGGTTGCCAGAACGGCTGCTCCGACGGTACCCCCAACCCCCCTGCGGCCGGCACTACTGATGCTCCCACTACCACGACCGGCCCGTCCTCGAGCCAGGAACCCGTCCTGGGCTCGCCGACCACCAAGGCCACTTCCCCCGCCAACACTAACCTCGTGACCACCGACGGCTCGTGCGGTGTTAACGCCAACAACGCCGTCTGCGGTGACTGGCCTCAGGGCAGCTGCTGCTCCATGTACGGTTACTGCGGAAGCACGACCTCCCATTGCGGTGACGGCTGCCAGTCGGGTCCTTGCACGAACGGCGCCGAGGAACAGGCTCCCGGTGCCAGCCCCGCTCCCGCCGCCCCGACTCCCGGTACCTTCAAGGTCGTTGGTGACTCTGGTGTCCCCGTCATGCACGCCGGTCTCATGCCCAACGGCAAGGTTGCCTTCCTCGACAAGGTCGAGAACTACACCCAGGTCAAGCTTGCCAACGGCCAGTACGCCTACTCCTCCGAGTACGACGTCACGACGAACACCTACGTCCCGCTCTCCTACAAGACCAACGCCTTCTGCTCCGGTGGTGCTTTCCTTGCCGATGGCCGTTTCGTCTCGCTCGGCGGCAACGCCCCTCTCGACTTTATCGACCCTACCGTCACCGACGGCTTCGACGGCATCCGCTACCTGAAGCGCAGCATGGACGACGACAGCCTCGACGGCCAGGGTTGGGACGAGCCTGGCAACAAGATGGCCAGCAAGCGCTGGTACGCCAGTGCGCAAATCATGGGCGATGCCAGCATTTTCGTCGCCTCCGGATCGCTCAACGGCCTCGACCCGACCAACAGCTCCAACAACAACCCCACCTGGGAGTTGCTCGACCGCAACGGCGTCTCGGACGGCATCAACCGCCCCATGGAGATTCTCGAGAAGAACCAGCCGTACTACATGTACCCGTTCCTCCACCTGCTGAAGGACGGCTCCCTCTTCGTCATGGTCAGCAAGTCCGCCGAGCGCTTCGACGTCGCTGGCAACAAGCCGATTTCCACCTACCCCGACCTTCCCGGCGACTACCGCACGTACCCCAACACCGGCGGTTCCGTGATGATGCCTCTGTCCTCGGCCAACAACTGGGTTGCTGACATTATCATTTGCGGTGGCGGCGCCTACCAAGACATTACCTCGCCCACTGACCCCTCGTGCGGACGCATTAGCCCGCTCGCCGACAACCCGAAGTGGGAGATGGACTCGATGCCCGAGGGCCGCGGCATGGTTGAGGGCACGCTCCTTCCGGACGGCACGTCGATCTGGCTCAACGGCTGCAACCACGGCGCCCAGGGCTTCGGCCTCGGCACGGACCCGACGTTCGATGCGCTGCTGTACGACCCCACGAAGGCGCTGGGCCAGCGCTGGCAGACGGCCGGCCGCACAGACATTCCGCGTCTCTACCACAGTGTCGCGCTCCTGCTCCTGGACGGCACGCTGATGGTGACGGGCTCCAACCCGGTCGAGCAGCCGGTGCTGGGCGACAACAAGGCGTTCCCGTACGTGACGGACTTCCGCGTCGAGATCTACACGCCGCCGTACCTGCAGGGCGAAAACGCCAACAAGCGGCCCACGGACGTGGCGCTCTCGACGACGGCGCTCAAGGCCGACGGCAGCACCTTTAACATCCAGTTCTCGGCTCCGGCGGGTGCAAAGGAGGTCCGCGTCGCGCTGTACCACGGCGGCTTTGTCACGCATAGCGTGCACATGAACCACAGGATGGCGTTCTTGGATACGGAGGGCTGGGCTGCGGGTGCCGCGAGCCAGAACATCAAGGTCACGATGCCCCCGAATAGCAACGTTGCCCCGCCTGGGCCGTATGTTGTCTATGTCGTTGTGGATGGCGTGCCTGCGGTGGGCAAGATGGTTATGGTTGCTTAGGTGAAGGAGTGATTACTACTACTACCTCCACTGCTCTTTTCTTCTTTTTTTTTTTTTTCCCTTCCTTTTTCTCTCTTCTTTTGGAGACAGAATGTAATGTATATACTTGACTATGCGTATGCGGGTCATTGAGAATGACGTGGCATGGCTGGATGAGATGATGGTGGAGAAGTTGGTGAGTGAAGTGGAGATGGGGGTGGGGAGTAGGGAGTAGCGTAGCTAGCTAGTTGACTACGAAGTACGAAGTACCTACTTGATACAAGTGATTGGGCCAAGTGCAGAGAATGAGGATGAGAATGTGTCTTGTTCCTCTGATGTGTACATGCAACCTATGCAACCTACATACCCTCAACCGCACCCCCCTTGCCCACCTCCTCGCGCCACATGACCCTTTCCTGCGCCACAACGCCGGGCCCTTTGTACACGCTGCCGTAGGGGCCTTCGCCCCAGTCGGCGCCTTCACCCTCCTTATCCTCAACACTCCGTCGATACCACTTCCCATACACGAGCAAATAATACAGCCGAAAACACAGCAGGGCCCAGCTATCGCGTTCCAAATCCTTCGGATAACTAGCGCCCAGATCCACGGCCGCCGCCACGCCGCTCAGCACCGCGACCTCGTGCGCGTTGACGAGGGTCCAGGCGGCCGCGAAGCGCGTGTGCTGCCGCCCTTGCAAGCTCCAGAGCCAGGGCACGACGAAAAGGTAATGTGTCCAGCTGTGGCAGAGCTGGTGCCACCAGTCCTTTCTAATAATCTTAGACGAAGAAATTTCGTCATCGGTCCATAACTGGCGGTCGCGAGAGGCGTTGAGGAAGATGGTCTGGAAGACGTGGTTTGCGAAGGGGACGGTGGGCGGGAACTGCGACTGGTAGTGCGTGCAGTCGAAGCTCATTTCGAGCTTGGTGAGGTCGGCGGCGTAGGGCTTGATGAAGTACATGGGGCGGAAGGAGGAGCGCGCGGCGCTGAGGCGGGGGGTTTGGTCCGTGCCTGAGAGGGTGGAGACCGCTTGGGTGGCGTTGTAGGAGGGCTCGTAGTGGTTTTCCATGTACGCGGCGTCGTGGTGTGTGATGGTGAGGTCGTCGGAGAATTTGGCGGCGTTGAGGACGCGCGCTTCGCGCCTTGTGCGCGTTTTGCCGAGGAGGCGGGAGCTGGTGTCGGCGCTGTTTTTGGGGGGTGTGTTAGTCGTGGGGTTGGGGTGGGGTGGTGGGAGTGGGGGATGGATGGGGAGCGCGACGTACAGCGTGCACAGCACGAGCTCGTCGTAGTGGTCTTCGGCCTCCTGGGCGGCGGCGTCGGCGTTGCTGGTGGGGTCTTCGGGTGCCCAGGCACTGGTGGGGTTATGGCCGTCTTTCGTAGGGGTGCGCTTGATGGTGCGGACGACGACGCCGTGGTTATCACGCTTGACCACCTGCGTCAGCTCGGTCGACAGGCGCACGCGCACGCCCTTCTTCTCGAGGTCTTTCTGCCAGTCGGCGTAGAAGACGCTGAAGTTCGGGAAGACGACCATCGGCGGCAGGTTGCTGGCGATGCTGTGCTTGTCGGCGGGGAACCACATGCCGTAGGTGGGGCTGGTGCAGAGGCGCTCGAGGATGATGCTCGGGACGTCGGGGGCGTAGTTGCCGGTGCCGAGGAAGAGGGCGACCATGGGGAGGGCGACGGTGTTTGCGAACTCGTAGGAGAAGAAGAAGAGCTTCATGAGGTACTTGATGGGGAGAAGGGCGAAGAAGAGCTCGAACCAGCGCACTATCTTCAGCATCCAGTAGAAGCGCTTGACTTCGCTTTGGTGCCGCGCCAGCAGCTGCGTCGGGTACACGTTGGTCCAGAACTGGTCGCCCTTGCCGAACGAGACCTGCAGCTTCACGGGGTCGGCGTGGTGGCCCTGCCGCGCAAACATCGTCATCGTGTGGTGGAAGATGTAGCTCCCGCCCTGCACGCCCTGGTTCAGCCAGCTGGCCCCGTGCTGAGCCTTGTCCAGCGGGATGGAGAAGGCCTGTCCGCCGCAGTAGCTCGCGCTGTCGATGATGGTCACGTCGAACTTGTCGGGATGCTCGGCGAGGTGGTGCGCGCATGACATGCCTGTGCAGAGTAAGTAGATGCGTGTCAGACAGCGCAAATATGTCTACTGCTGTACGTACCAGCTGCGCCGGCTCCAACGACCAGTACCTTCTTCTTCGCCATAGTGGTGGTGGTGGTGGGTAGCAGCGGCTCGGTCGACGGTCGTCGTCGTCGGGGCATAGGAACGAATCACGCAGCTGCAGCAACAACAGCTCAAGCGTCAATGAGGCCATTTTGAACAAAGCTCCAAGCTCTCCCCCGGGGCTGCTTGGTTTGCGTCATGACTGCGAGCTTGCGAGCGTGCGAGAACAAAGGAGGAGCCGGCGTAGCTGGTTTGGGACTGGACGGGCCGTCGATCCATTGACTCTCCCGATTGCCGAGCACGCTTGGATCTGAGTATCCGATCCCGATCCTGACATGGACTCTGCCTGCCCATCGCTGTTGGCTGTTTTCCTGCCACTACGAGTAGAGTACGTGGTGCCTTGCGCTATGCCTCTCTCGACTCGCTCTTGGCTCCCGCTGCTCTTCAGACGGGCGACCGCCCGTGCCCATTGACCCTGACGTCATGATCTGGTGGTTCAATCCTTTGCCATGGATCCTTCAAGCCTTCAAGAGACGCATCCGCGACATCCCAATCTCTCAGACGTCACGCACACTGACGCCGTTACAGCTCCAGACAGGCCCTGCCGACACACCACCAGCATCAGCACTCGTCCCACACCTATCGCAAACCAAAAACTCACAACCATGTCAAAAGACGCCCGCGCAACGGCCACAATACCCCCGTCATCTCCAAAGCCGTGTACCTACTCCTAGTGTAGCCACTTCGTCCTCCAGCCCGGCGCGAGAACCTACGCGCGCCAGCCTATCCATCAATACCGCCATCCCGACGCGTCGCGCAGGACGGCCATCACGTCCATTATCGCGCAGCGAGCGAGCGAGCGAGCGCTAGTCGCAACACCAGGCTGATAGGCGGGAAGCGCGGTACGTGTGTGTAGGCGGGCGAGCGACCTGGCCTGGCAAGGCGCGGAAGGCGTCGCAGGCTCGCTTGCTCATCGGCGACATGTTGACGCGGTTGCAGCGCGGGCGCAACAGCACCCACCTAGCGGAGACGGGATGGGTTGGCGTTCAAGACGGGCCTAGGCATCTTCGACGACGAGACATAGGCACCCAAAGCGGCCAGAACAGAGGACCGTCTCCTCGGCCGACGCAGAAACCACAAAGCTCGTCGGCCATCTCCAAGCGAAGCGGCACACGCTCCCAACACGGCCGGCCGTGCAGGCCCGCGGCTCGGCGGGATGCGCGTTCCGCGCCGATCAGCAACGCTGCTCTATTGATGGACGTTTCGCAATGGCCGGAAGTTGAGAGGGTCGCGGCTGGGCCTGTGACGGAGCCTTCCATCTCCTCGGAGTCGATGGCTTGTTCTTCCAAGTGGGTAGGTGTATTCACGATGCCTTGCGCACAGCTACTCGTTGTAGTGCGTGCTGTAACTAACTCCTGGGTACGTACGTGTCGATGCCGCAAACAGCACGAGTTTTCGTATATGTGGAGGCAACGAACTACGACTCCACCGACGCCGAATTGCACTCTGATGCGCCTACCTACGTAGTACACCCTGTATGTATAAGATGCGCTTTAAGCACCGCGTTCGCGTCGCGTCATACGCGCATTACGGCAATCCTCCGCCGCTGATAGGAACAGGAAGCTGCTCGCGCGGAGCCTGCGTAGCTAGGTAGTTAGCTGCTCGCGTTCACACAGACGCGCGGCGACAACGGCGGCGAAGACGGCGAAGATGGCGAAGACGGCGTAGACGGCCACAGCGGCGGACCTAGCCACTGTGATCACCAGCGGGAGTGGGACGTTTCCTCAGCACTAAGGTAGGTCACTGGCCCCCACGCCCCACGCTCCACGCACTCGCCGAGGCTCAGGCAGCGCGCCCAGAAGCCCAAGACCAAGCCCGAACAGGTATTTGGTAGTTAGTTGGTGTACGGAGTACGGATGTCGGATTAGAAAGCAGTGGTTACTGCGTGCGCGATCGCCGCCCATCATGTTTCGCCGCACAGATCAGACACTCGACGCCCGACGTTCGCTCGCTCCGGTGTTGCGGCTTCGGGGCCCGACTTGCGACGACTCACGCGTTTTAACTTTTCTTTTCTTTTTTTTTTTTCCCCTCTCATTGCTTTTTCGTTGTCCTATTTTCTCCGCTCGCGTACAGCACACGTAACCTAGGGGCAGGGCAGTCCTTCTCCCGCCTTCCCTAATCCCGGCGGCGGCTAAAATAAACCCACCGTACGGGAAATTACATTTTGCGAGACTGGGATTCTGGTCCGGGGGGGTGTTGCGTGGGTGCTTGGGTGGGGGGGTTCTGCCTCGACTTGTCTCGCCCTCGCGAGCCCTGCCCTGCCCTGCCCTGCCCTTGGCTGTGGAAGCGAGGCGTGCGAGGCTGTGAGCACGCAAGAGGGGGTGCGACTGGGGAGGGGGGTTGCTGACCTGGGCTGCGCCCTCACGTGGGAACACCTGTTCCCGTTCGTGGTGGCGTAATCCGCAGGTAGGTACGCGAGGTAGCGTTGCAGTTGCAGTCACAGCCAGGCCGCAGCCAAGTCGGGTCGCAGTGGTTGTTGCAGTTGCGGCTTCAATGCCGCACGCCGCACGCGTAACGTAGCTACCTACCTACGCACACACGGGTCTATCTATTCCCTAACCAGCGGCGTAGCGGCGCAGGCGGTGTTGAGCCGCGGCGTGGGGAGGCGGCTTGGGGAGCGAGTGGCACAGCGAGTGAGCGAGTGCGTGCAAGGACGAAGAAGGAAACCCCACAGTTGCAGCAACTACTCCAAGAGCAGTACCTATAGTTATCTAAGCAAGCAGATCGGTGGTGCAGAGGTAGGTAGGCAGACAGAACAGACCAGCAAATACCGAATGCCGAATGAATTATTGAATACCGAACAAACAAACAAAAAACGCAGACGAAAGCGACCGCCTTCTCTATAGGGGAAATGCTGCCTTGCTCTACTCTCCACCTACCTACCTGATCCGTACTTATATATGGCCCCCATCCCGTCCCATCCCATCCCGTCCTACCTACCCCTAGCACGAGTGATCTCGCTTTTCCGCCTGCATGCATGCCTGATTACTTGCTTGCTTACTGTGCGGCCCACCAGCTAGCTGCCTGGATCGGGATCTGCGACCTGCGATGCAATTTCTGGGGCTGTAGCGCGGGCGGGTGTTGTTTCTTTTTGCTTGGGTTTGGCTCTGGGTTTCTCCTTTTCCTGCGTGAGCGAGTAAGAGGGGGGTAAGACTGCGTGCGTGCTTGATTGGTTGGGGGCGTGTGTGTGTGTGTAAGAGGGAAGGGGGGAGAAACCGAGAGCTGCGTGCGAGATGAATTCGTTTATTAAGAGAAAAGATAACTCTTTCTTGTTTAGGCCGTCCCTTTTTCCGTAGTAGTAGGTAGTAGGTAGCATGTGCTCAACGCATCGAAAATTAAAAGAAAAATGCAAACAAAGTAAAAAGTAAGCCGCCCAAGCCGCTGGTATCGCATACACAAACCCACCCAACCCAACCCATGTCGTTCCAGAACGCCGTCTCCGCCGCACCCCCACACCCCCCCCACACACACACATACGCGCGCGCCCTACGTATGATAGCACCTCGTCGAGACATGGACGCCGGACTTGGGCGCCGTGACGACGGCCGTCCCGGGCGGCGTGTCAATCTCCTCGAGCGGGATAAAGTCCTTGGTCTCGGCTTTGCTGACGCGTTGCACGATGCTAGTGTTCGTGTCGATGTTGCCCGACGTGTTGGCGCCGTAGCCGTAGCTGCGCGCGCCCGAGCCGCGGCCCATGACCCGCGGGAACAGCTTGTACAGCAGGGCGCGGATGGCGGGCAGGCAGGCGCAGATGATGCCCGCGTGCACTTCGATCGTCGACCAGTATCCGATCGGCACGTAGTCCCAGGTGACGTTTTGCGAGTTGGCGAATTGGATCATCCATTTTAGCCGCAGCATGCTGACGACCGTGACGCTTTGGCGGGGGGTGTTAGTTGGGGTTTGTGCGTGGTGGTGGTGGTGGTGGGTGCGCGGCTTACAAGGACCCCACTGTGAACATGAACATGACGTGGATCTTTTTGCGGACCGAGAGGGCGAGCTTCATCAGTTGAGGTAGGGGGAGCGTGATGACGGCGATGTCGAGCACGATGTTGAACGTTGCGCTGGCCCAGCCTGTATGTACGATCAGCACGTTATCAAAATACCAGCTGCGTGTAGCTTACCAAGAGCGTTGACGTTAACGCAGTGGCCTTCTGATTCGTTATCCCACCGTTTCCAAGATAGGTTGATTGGATTGCACTGCAGTGCGACGGCTACGACAAAGGCGACGCCGTATGCGAAACAGCAGAAAATGACCACTGCACACATCCAGCGGAATCTCTTGTCGGGAAAGATGCGGAGATAGAAACATAAGATGGATATCTTGATCAATGACAGGGAGGCCAAGTAAAGGGTTTCGTCAAAGTAGTAAATGTAGAGAATGTGCGTGATGTTCTTGAAGGATACCGTCCACATATCTTTCCCGAGGCCGGCTTCGGCGAGAGATACCGATAGCACGGAGAGCGGGATCATTGGGAGCTAGCACTGTTAGCACGGTTCTCTAAGCATCTTCGGGTGCACCTACCATTGTAACTAAGAGGAAGACATCATCCAGGCCGAAATTGCCACCCATCATAGGAAGGCGTGCCACCAGACGCAGAGCAATTGCGATCAAAGCGATGCCCATACCGATGATGCCCGTATAGGATACGTGCTTGGTTCGGTCTCGTGGCTCGAAACCGCAGCTGGTTTGCGTGACGTTCTTCGTGGTGAGTGCATTCTTGACGCTGCATTGCGAGGCGACGCACGCCTCCACTTCCGTGTTCAGTGGCTTGTTAGTGCATATGCAGGCTACGTCTGTCGGTGCGCATGTTCCAACGACCACTATCCCTTGCGTGAGGCATGTTCTCTGCAATCAATGTCAGCCTTGTGCTCATATACCTTTCGGACTGGACTCACCCCGCACTCCGGTAGCGCCGCCAGGACGGCCTTCAACTTAGACGCTGACGCTGATGCTGACGTCTGAGCGCCAACAGAGCCGACCACGGAGGCCAGGACAACCAATGGCCAGAAAATCCTCATCTTCGTAACGATTGACAGAAGGACGAAACCATCAAAGGGAAAAAAGCGAAGGGAGTGGAGATGGGAGCTCAGGTCAGACAGAAGTACGAAGGATAAGCATAAGATCAAGACGTTTAACGCAGATCATCCCGCTACCACCATAACGAACTCTGGCCTGAGCCTGAAAACGAGGTACGCATGTAGGTTCCATGCCGTCTACGCAGCCTCCCGGCATTATGTGTCGCAGATCTTCCAGGGCAGCCGGGTCACCACGAGTATGGCGCGGCTAGGGTCTCTCGGCGGCCACGCATCCGGTTCCGGGCAGGATCTACCGTCTCTATTTCTTTAACACACTAGATCCCGGCTAAAGGGGGCGGGCTGAGGAGAAAGTTGGGACCGCAATACCTGAGAGGGAGCGTGGGTCCTGAATAAGCTGCGCGCGTCCCACTGAGCAGGGTAAAGCAGAACATGGTGCCGGAGCAGGCACATGTTGCGAGGTCGCTCCGGCCAGAGTACCATCGGAGCATGCCGCTGGGCGGGAAGGTCCAGCTTTTAGCAGATTCGGAGCCGCATGGCCGTGTTAGGCAAACTGGACGCGGGAGGCATGACGATCGTGGATGGTGGGGAGCAGGGGCCGGCCGCTGGCGCTGCTGTGCCGCACCCGTCTACCGGAGACGTGGTGAGACGGGAGCTGGCGCAAGCATGATCCGCCCGCTCATGATTCGTTGAGAGGCGCGGGTGTTTCTGTATGCGAAATGAGCGTCCATGCGCGCGCGAGAGCTTGAGTGCTTGCGGAGAGTTTTGGTCGTGTCGCGGGTGCCTGTTGCCTGTGTGTGTGCGCGCATCGGATCATTTTCGGCTGCCTTGGTGCCTTCCATGCGCCAGCCCGTACCGCTGCACCTACAGCAACGGCGCAGCAACCCTTTTTCCTCCTCCAACCCCTGAGATGCGGCTCCACCGGGAAAAAAGACACGGCATATTGGTCGCCGGGACAAAAACAAAAACGCCCTGCATCCATCTTGCCTTGTCAATGCCATATATCAGAGATCGCCCTTCGCTGAACCGTGCAGCGTCGGGGAAGAGCTGGAGAAACGCTGTCACCACACAGGCACAGCAACAACACCGACATCGATCTGCACCTGGCGAATCGGCCAAGACGCTTATCAATTGAGCTATATGATAATATCGAGACGCTTCCATTCGTCTTCAATCCCCGCATGCCCCGCTACGGAATGCCCATCACAGGCTCATAGCCCGTCGCTGAACTCAAAAACCTTCTGCCACCTCTGCTCATGTCGTCAGTACGTAACGCCAAGGTGGCATGGATGGCGACGTGGAAACATACCGAGTCGTAAGGGCGAGACGAGTCCACGAAGCGCAGGTCTGTGCCGAGCCGGATCACGTTGTCGGGGTCGTGGTTGATTGTCGATGCATGAATCTGCAGACAGAATCAGTCAAGAGCCGCTTCCCAATCCGTCGAGCCGAGACTTACCATGTGAGCCTGGTGCAGCACAACGTCGCCCGCTTCGTACGCCGTCAACAACCACCGGCTGTTGTGCTCTTCGCCAAATCCCTTCGGGCCCTCGGCGAGGAATCCCGTCGCCATCATGTTCTGGTTAAAAGCGTATTTTGCCTCCTCCTCGGACAGTCCAGAGCTCTTTGCCCTTTCGGTAAATTCGTTTTCAATCTTCTCTCCGAGATCATGTCCTGCTCAAAGTATCAATCACTGCTGTTTCTGACTGCCATCTCAGTTGCTCCGTACCTTTTTCCATATAGACCAAGCCGCCGCCCTGGATGCTAATGTCCCCTATGGGCACCCATGCGGTCACGGACGTCGGCTCGCCGTGCCTCAAGAATATATGATCGTAGTGCACTCCGATTGCCTTGTTACCGGGCGTGTTGTTCCGGAGCAACGTGCGCTGCAGCGGCAGCGTGTGCTCTCCCCAACCCATCAACTTTGCAACAAAGTTCTTCAAGACTGGGTGCTTGCAGAAGTCTACGGCGTACCAGGGTTCCGAGTGCGCCTTCATTGCGAGGTCGACAAAATTAGCGGCAGTCTCTTCCCCGGGCTTTGCGTTGCCCGGCGTGGCGCCAGCGCCAATTCCAGGGTAGTCGGCCTTGTCTTTGGCCGAGTCGAAGACGCCCTCGACGGGCTTGGTGCCGGGCTTGAGGACGCCACTGGGTGCCAGGAACTTGAAGTAGTTCTCGCGGCACTTGAGCACGTCATCGCGCGGGAGCAGGCCCTTCAGGAAGACGTAGCCATCCTCCCTCCATCGCCTGCGCAGCTCTTCGACGGGCTCGTCTGGATATGAGGGCCTGAGCGGGGCCATCTGGTGCGGCTCGAGTGGTCCATCGTTCACGAACAGCTTGGCTCCAGGCCAGTTGGTGTTGCGTTCGGGGGATGCGGCGTGAGGCATGGTGGGTGATGGACTGCAGATGGGAAAACAATGCCCTTTGTCGGCGCCATCGACCGCATTTTCAAGAGCGATATAAATACTTGCATGGCCTCATCAGCGTCGCCATCACGGACAGGGTCTAGAGGCGTTGCCCAAGGGCATTATCGGAGGGAGTTGCCTTTTCAGCAGGACTCTAATCGGACAGAATTACTGCATCTTCTCGAGGTCGTTGCCAATTGAGCCGATAAGCTGCTGGCTCGGAAGCCACAACAGCCCAAAGAGCGCCGATGCGATGCTTCTCCCCGCAAGTTCCCCACATTTTGCCCCGCACTTCGTCATCGTCCTGTTTGCTGTGCCGAAGCGAGCGGACGCAAATACTCGGAAGAGAACGAAGAGAGCAAACCACTCCAACGCCTCCAGTTTCTCGCAGCCATTCAGTAATTCCGCTTTCAAATGTCATGGTGATTGCTCCATCCATGTGGGCCTTTGGATTGAGCTGACACCCGATGGTAGCACCTACTGCAGAATACGACATTACAAGTGTAAGATTGTGTCATACCAGGCGCTGACAGGTTACTCAACCCGACTGCATCAGGCGATGAGAACGAACCACAATGTAGCCGATGCGAGCGCGCGAACAGGCGGTGCATCAGACCAACCGGAAGGACTTTCAGGCACTTCAAGACGCCACGCCGGGCTCCGGGACAGCAGATTTGGGTCCCTCTTCCGCCAAAAGGTGATAGTGTCCAATCATGCTGATATGCTCGACTGATGTTGTGCAGTCGATTTTGTGGACGAAACGAATAGCCTCGTGGAGGGTTCGGGCGATGTCTCAAGCAATTCTGAAAGCATAACGCCGGACGTGCTTCCCCGGCACATTCCTTTGACGGTGACTGCGTCAACGGGTGAACCGTTTGACAGCACGACAGGCCCAGATACCAACTCACCAGTGGTTGAGACGCCGTTTGTGCATCAGTACTCTTTGAGTTTCCCTCCAGCCATCACGCAGGAGGACCAAGACGTCGAGTCGATCCCGTCTCCCACGTACAATGCATTGCGAGAGCTTGCCCATCAGCATCACCCTCGGCATGTCGATCCTCCAGTGCAAGTGCACTTGCCCCCTCCTGCGCAATTGCTATGCCCAAACACCGTGAGGTGGCCCCTCGGATTCGAGCAAGAAGCCATGCTGTTCCGCTACTACATCGACCAGGTGTCCAACTTTGTTGGTTCCCATCCGCCCAACAAGCAAAACGACGGCATCAGACTAACGAAGGCGCAGTTCGACCTCTGCGGCCCGTACCGCTTCTTCCGGTCCGAGGTGCCGCACCGCGCGCGCGAAAACAGCACCCTCGCCAACGCCATATTCGCGCTGTCGGCGCGCCTGCTCCACTGGCGCGAGGGCCTGGACTCCTACGTCGCGGACCGCTACTACCACGCGTGCCTGCAGACGCTGATCCCGACGCTGAACGACAGCCAAGCCTTCCTGGACGACTCGCTCCTCGCCGCGACGGTGCTGCTGCGCATGCTCGAGGAAATCGACGGTGGGCACCGCAACCCCAAATCCATAGCCCCTCTCCACCATCCCACCGTCCTAACACACAAACCCCCACACAGTGCACATCTTCGGCAGCGACGCGCAAGGCCACCTCAGCGGCCTGCAGGCCATCATCCGCGCCACGACAACAACAACAACAGCCGCGCGCTCCCCCCCGCCCTCCGGCCTCCGCCAAGCCGCTTCCTGGGCCGCGTTCAGACAGGAGCTCTGGATGGCGCTGCAGACGCAGCGCCCCGTCGCAATGCGCTCCCGCGACCTCGACGCCATCTGCGGCTTCGAGCGCGACCATGGCTTTCGTCCCGCTGACGACTGGGTGTGGGCGCAGCGCGCGGTCGCGCAGTTTGGAGAGGCGCTGGAGTGGGCGTTTGGTGCTGGGGGGGGAGGGGGAGGGGGAGGGTGTGGTGGTGGTGATGGAGACAGTGATGGCGACGCGGACGCAGGCGTCGAGCCCGCGGCTGGAGGGGAGGCGGCGTGGCGGGCGCGGCTGCGCGAGAACGCGGCCTGGAGGGCTAGTGTGCCGCGGAGCTATGAGCCGTTTTTTGGGGGGTGGGGTGATGATGATGACGACGATGAAGACGATGGTGATGGGGAAAGGGACTTGGGCTTGGTGGAGGAGAAGCCGTTGCCGGATGTGAGGTTTTGCGCGGATTTGTATGGTGAGTGGGCGTCTGTCTGTCTGATGGGTAGTGTGGGTGTAGTGTGGTGTGTGTTAGGTGCTGACGCACAAAAACCCAGCAACCGCCCACAACTACAACCTCTTCGCGCACATGATCCTCATCGTGCACGACCCGACGGTGCCGCGCCTGGGGCCTTTACGCCGGGCCGCCGTTGCTGCCGTCGACGTACGCTTTATTCCCCTCTCTTCAACCTGTTTCCTCCTCCTTGTAGTGCCTGCTAACAACGACGCAAGCGGCGCGCCCGCAACACAGTACGCAAGCTCGTCGCCCTCGCGCTCGCGAATTTCGACGCTTCGCCTGCGGCGCTGCTGGCTTGTATGGCGGTTATTTTGTGTGCGTTCCCTCTACCCCCTATATCCTATTTTACCCTTTTATCCAACCCTTGGCCCTACACCCCTTTGTCCCCTTTCCCCCATTTTCCTTAGAGGAAAATAAGGATAAGGACAAGGTTGACGGATGTGGGCAACGCAGGCGGCGACCGCTTCGCCCCCTCGCCCCACCAGGGCCAGCACGACCAGCACCAGCGCTATCGCGCAGAACAACACCGCTTCCTGGCCCTGCTCACCGCGACGGAGAAGCGGCATGGTTGGCCGACGGCGCGGGCACGGGCGCAGTTAAGGGAGGGGTGGGGCTTCTAATGGGGGGGGGGGGGGGGGGATTGGGGGGGGGGGGGGGGGGGGGGGGGGGGGGGGTTTTGGGGGGGGGGGGGGGGGGAGAATTAGGAGGGGAGGTGTGATGGTATGGATTTAATCTACCTACCCGCCTCAACGAGCATGTCTACCTATCGTTCCATGACAAGACAACACGCCCGCCTCACCCTTCCCACCACAACACCACACCACCCCCACAACCATCCTCCTCAAACTAGAGCTCATCCCTCTCCCCCCCATCCGCCACCCGGAAGCGATACACGCCCACCGAATGCCGCTCGATCCTCGCCTCCCAGCTCCCACCAGGCTGCACGCGTCCAACCCACTGCCCCACTAGCGCGGAATGGTTTGCCGCGAGGCCGTCGGCGTACGGGAGCGCCGTGGCGTTGTAGCGGGTTTTGCTGTCGGCTGCAACCTCGCTGCTATTGCCAGCTATAACTGCCGCAGCCTCCTCGTCGCTCATGCGATTCGCCCAGAGGTCGAAAACATCCCACGCCTGGCTTAGCTCGGCCGGGGCCTCGTACGCGCCCGCGGTGGCCTGGTCCAAAAACACATCCCCCAACCCAGCACGCATAACCCTGCTGCCGTTCCCCGCGTTCAGCAGCGCCACAGCCGTGTCTCCGTTGGCGAGCTCGCGCGTCCAGAGCGCAACCTCGCCCTGCCCGTCGGCGTCGACGTCGGGGACTTGGTGCCGCCATTTCCGCACCCCGGCTGTGCCGGAGGGGTCTTGGTTTAGGGCGAGGATGGCGGGGTTGGAGAGGAGGGAGAGGGAGCGGGGGGATAGGGTCGCGATGTTGGTGCCGATGAGGAGGGGGGACGAGAGGAGCGCCCACATGCTGATGTGCGTGAGGTATTCGGAATCTGTGTTGTGCGGGGGGTTAGTTGTGGTTGTGGCGTGTGTGGTTGTGTGGGGAGAAGTGCATACCGCTCTGCCCGCCATTCCCGACCTCGAGCATATCCATATCGTTGAACGCGCCGGGCTGGCTCCGCGACTGTATCGGCGCCATCTTATTCAGGATATTCATGACGGAGCAATGGTAGCCGGGCCAGTCACAGGGCGTTTCCGTGCACGGGCAGCGGCTATCCGGCCGCTGGAAGCTGTCGTAAATGTCGCCGCTCATGCGCCAGCTATTGCTGATCGTCTGGGCCCAGTCAAACGGGTTGTCGTCGCCCCAGTTGCAGATGCCGTAGACGATGTCTCGCCCGGTAGCGCTCAGCGCGCGCGCCATGGCGGCGTACCGCGCGAAGCTGAGCGCGGGCGTGCCGCTCTGCCCTTCGTTGTAGCAGTTGTCGTACTTGAGGTAGTCGACGCCCCAGGCGGCGAACGTTTGCGCGTCGAGCTCTTCGTGCCCCAGCGACCCGGGGTACCGCCCGCACGTGTACGCGCCCGCGGAGCTGTACATGCCGAACTTTAGTCCCAAGGCGTGCAGTTGGTTGGCCACGTGCAGCATGCCGTTGGGGAACTTGTCAGAGTCCGGAACGAGGTGCCCGGTCTCGTTGCGCCCGGAGGACCAGCAGTCGTCGAGCACGACGGTGGTGTAGCCCAGGTCGCGCAGGCCGAGGGAGACGAGGCTGTGTGCGGTTTCGAGCAGAAGGTCTTCTGAGACGGAACATCCGAAGGCGTTCCAGTTGTCCCAGCCCATGGTTGGCGTCAGCGAGAGCCCGTTGTAGGACGAGGTGTCGGGCATGGGCACGGCTGAGGCGGAGCCGTGCAGCTTGGGGAAGAAGACATCGACGAGGGCGAGCAGGGCGATGGCCATTGTGGTGGTCGTCGTAGTGGACTGATTGAAGAGGCGAGACAGACCTAGCGAGGAACCTGCCTGCCCGCCCAGATTTATATACCTGCTTGCCGGGCGCATCTGCGCGGTAGCACCAGCACGGTGCAGGGATGCGCGGAGGGGTAGCTGGGGGATGCGTGGAGTGCTTGCATGCTCGACGCCGGATTCGGGGGTGCCAAGGCCCATTGCGGCGGTTGCAGCGGTGCGGTGCGCATTGTAGACGTCAGTATGGGCTGTGTGTGCGTTGCGGCTGCATGGTGTTGAGTTGTGGTCTGGGTCAGGGTCGGGATGACGTCGTGCGGCGCAGGGGCGGGCGGGGCTGCTCTCCCGTCTCCCCCATGTTTCCTTCTCCCTTCCCCTCCCTCCATTTCCACTGGTATAGTCGTGACTAGTTATAGCATATAAGTAGCGGGTTATTTACCAATGCACGACCACTACCGCTCCCATGGTAGAAGAACAAAGCATAGTAACGACCGTAGACGATATAAATAGGTATACTATTAGAGGTAGGTATTATACTATACATACACGTCCAACATTCCATCGGAGAAGAAAAGGCTCCAAGCACCAAGAAACCAACCACTAACTAACTCGACATGGACACCAACGAAAAGCAGCGAACGAACAAACGAACCAACGAACGAGCCACAGGGGGAATCATGCGCGATCGCCAAAGGAAACAGCAGATGGCCAATAGCCAATAGCCCATACCAACAGAAGCAAAAATAGCAAAAATAGCAGAATAGAAACAGAAACAGAGATAGACGCCAACCAAGCAAAAAACACAAAAACCCCAACCTAACACCACCCAACTAACAACTCAAACACACACATTACCTCCGCCCACCCACTCCAGGCAAAGTCCCCGTCCCCTCGCCCTCATCGCCTTCCCCATCCCATCGCGGCTCCCATTCCATGCCCGGATAGCTCGCGCCATGCATGACGACGGGGGCGTCCTCGTCGCCGTGTCTTTGTCTCTGCTCCGAACTCACACCAGCACCCTCCCTCACAACACCACCACCACCTCCAACCTGCTGGCCCTGTCCCTGCACCTGTTGGCCCAGCACGCCCCCGTCCTCATAAGCCGGCGGCGCCCCCTCCATCCCCTCCGCATGCGCGTTCACAGGCAACACCTCGCGCCACCCCGCGACGACGCGCTGCTGCTCCTGCAGCCGTGCCTGCTGGATCAGCAACGCATTCTGTGCTTCCTTCTCCGGATCGCCGTGCGTGTCCTCCGCCGAGGAGAAGGAGGACGTCGGCGTTGTGATTGTTGATGAGGGGTGTGAGGGGTGCTGCTGGGGTTGCTGTTGCTGCTCTTGAGGAGGTTCTGGTTGCGGTTCCGGCGGCGTAGGCAGCGAGAGCTCGTAGGGCCGCTGTTGTTGTTGTTGTTGTTGTTGTTGTTGCAACTCCTGCTGCTGTTGCGGCGGTGGTGGCGGCCCAGGCGCATACGGCGCAAACGACACGTACCCCTCGTCATGGCGCACCTTTGGCGGGACAACGGGCGGCGTGACCGCGCCTGCGCCTGCACCAGGGAAATAGCCACCCCCACCTACACCGACACTAACGGGCGAGACAAGCGTCGGCTCCGCCTCAGGCGTGCTGTACGCGACGCCGAAGCCGTAGCCGGCGTAGCCCGCTCCCCCAGTTCCATTTCCAGCACCACCCGCACCAGCACCATCACCACGCCCAACCTGTCTCGCCAGCTCCCCCGCCGCCGCAATACTCGTCGCAGCGCGGGAGACGGGCTGGGGCGACGGAAGCGGCCACGCGGCGGCAGCGGCAGCGTCGACGGTGCTGATGCCGGTGCTGAGAGCGGGGGGTAGTGGCCGCTGCTGCTGCTGGTAGTGCCATTGGTTCCGGCCCTGGCCACCGCCTGGCATCATCTGCATCTGCGATGGTGGGCCGCGCATTTGCTCCTGGTTTGCGCGCCCTGGGCCTTGGCCTTCCGCATAGTAGCGCCGTCCTCCTCTTGGTGGCGCGTTGGGCATGGGCATGCTGCCGTAGGGTGCGTCTGTGTAGTTGTTGCGGGCTTGGAAGGCCTGTTGTTGTTGCTGCTGCCAGCTCCCTCTTTGCGACGAAGACGACGGCATACGTGGCTGCATCTGCGGTCGCTGGGGCTGTTGTTGCTGCTGTTGCTGTTGCTGCATCTGCCAACTCCCCCGCTGCGACGACGACGACGGCATGCGTGGCTGCATCTGCGGCCGTTGTGGCTGCTGCTGCTGCACGACGCGCGGGTTGTACGCCCTATACTGCTGCTGCTGCTGCTGGCGGGGCATTTCACCGCTTCGCCTCTGCCCCTGACCTTGGCCTTGACCTTGGCCATGCCTCTGGGCCTGACCCTGCCCCTGCCGACCATAATCGCCCGCGCCCCTCAAGTGCGGCGGGATCATAGGCACGTTCGCAAACGCCTGGCCCGCGGCATCGCGGGGCGGCGGGGGCGGAAGCTGGGGCAGATGCGGGACCTGCGGGACCTGTGGGACCTGCGGGACTGGTGGGACAGGTGGGACCGGAGGCACCGACGACGCGTCCTGCTGCATAGCAGCCGAAGGGGGCAAAGAGGCCTGGCTGGCGTGCGGTGGGGGCTGCGTCTTGTGCAGGCGGCCCTTGGAGTCGGCTTTGCGGAGGCGGTGTTCTTGCTCTTCTTCCTGCTGCTGCTGCTTCTGCTGCGGAACAGCGGGGCTGGACGCCGAGCGCCCGAACAGGCTGCCCAGGGACGAGAAGCGCTTTTTCTTGGGCTTGGGCTTCTCTTTCTCGTCGTGCTTATCTGCCGTCGCAGCAGCAGCCGCGGCGGCGGCGGCATTATGGTTCCGTTGCAGCAGGTTGCGGCGCTGGCTCTTCTTGCCCTCCTCCTCCCGTGCCTTCTCTTCTTCTTTCTTAGTCTCCTTCTCCTTCTCCGGCTCCTGCGTCACCACCTCCCCCCCGCTCGACTGCCGCCTAAACGGCAAAAAGCTCCGCGAGCGCTTCGTCTCCTCCTTCTCCCGCTCCTTCTCGCGATCCCCGCTCGACTGGTACGAGAACGCGCGATGCAGCTGATCCTCCTGCCCAGCCACATGCTGCGGATTAATGCGATCGGGGGCAACAACCCCAGAAGCACCACCCCTAGCCGCCACGCTCGCTGACGACCGGTTCCCCAGCAGCAGCGAGCGGCGCTTCTGTTGGTTCCGCGAGAAATCCTGCGTCGGCGGGCCCACGCCCGGAAGCGTGTACTCGATGCCGTAGGAGCGGGGGTCGAAGTCTTGGCGCGTGAAGAGTGATTGCCGCTGCCCTGGGACGTCGTACTCGGCGTCGATGAGGTAGGGGTCGTTGGCCTGCTGCTGTTGCTGCCCTGGTGGTGGAGGTTGCGATGGAGGCGCCCCGAACCTCACGCCCGGTCTTGTGCGTACGCCTGGCTGGGGGCGCATTCCGGGCGGCACGCCCTGATGCACGACCACTCGCTGCGGCGGCGGCGGCATGCGCTGTTGGCCAGGCTGGAAGCCTTGTGGTGAAGGCCCCTGGAAGCCTCCTGGAGGCGTAGGGCCTCGATACCCTTGCGGTGGAGGTCCCTGAAAACCCTGCGGCGGAGGTCCCTGGAAACCCCCCGGAGGTGTAGGACCACGGAACCCCTGTTGTGGCAGCGGACCCTGCAACCCTCCCGGAGGCGTAGGGCCCCTAAACCCCGGCGGTGGCACGACCATGCGCTGCTGCGGCGGAACGACCGGCACGCTCACGACACCAGCACCAGCAGCATCAACCGCCGTAACAGCTGCCGGAACAGCCACCGGAACAGCCGCCGGAACAACAACAGCAGCTCCAGCAGCCGTAGCACCAGCGGCGCTCTCATCACGCCTCCGTCGCGCCTCCGCCATCATGCGCAGTCGCTCCGCCTGGATCTGGAGCGGGCCGCGCGTTTCTGGCTGCAGCTGCTGTAGCTGCGTTAGCTGTAGCTGCGCTTGCTCCTGCTGCGCTTGCTGCTGCGCCTGCTCCGCCTCCAGCTCCTGCGCCCGCATCGGCTGCACAGGCACAAAGCCGCCAGTCACAGGCGCGACATCGCGCGTCGACAGCGGCGCATCAGAGGCATGAGCCTCGTCTTCGGCCTCGGATTCGGATTCAGGCGCCATCGCAACCTTGTCTGACGCTTCCCGTTCAGGCTCTTTCGCGGCCTCGGGCTCGGCTGGAGCTTTGGGCTCAGGCTCAGGCTCAGGCTCAGAGTGTTGCTGCTCAGGCTGATGCTCAGGCACCAGCTCCCGGTCGTGCTCCCGCTCGTGCACCAGCGGCCCAAAACTGCCAAAGCCGTAGCCCACGCCACCACTGCCGACGTCGCCCTCGATAGGACTGACAGGGCTCATGGGCACTGCGCCCGAGATGTCCTGCAGCGGAGACATTGACCTCGTCTGGTGCAGAACCGCAGGCGCGAACGGGGCAGCGGGCAGCGGCTCGGCGTGGCTAGGCTTTTCTCGCTCTTCTTCTTCTTCCTCTTGCTCTTGCACATGCACCACCTCCTTCTCGGATCCCTGCTCTTGCTCTCTTACCCCGTTCGCTTCCTTCTTCTCGTCTTCACCTTCACCCGCAATTTCGTCCTCGAGCTTATGCTCCTGCTCATGCTCCTGCTCCCGATCCTGCTTCTCCTCGCCCCGCTCGTCCCGCTCACCACCCTCACCCGCCAAAAACCCACCAACATCCAAACTCAGGCTCAAGCTCCCGCTCCGGCGCCTCGCGACCTCATCCAACGGGATCCCCAACAGCGAACTCGCAGCGCTCTTGCGCTTCTGCACCACACGCGAGCAGTGCGAGCGCGGGCGCGAGCAAGTAGAAAGGGGCCGAGAGGAGGTAGAGAGGGGGCGTGAGCACGTGGAGCGAGGACGCGCAGTGCAATCGCGTTCGTCGTCTGCTTCTGCTTCTGCTCCTGCTTTGTCTTCGTTGGTGACCGAGGTGGTGGCTGAGAGGGCGCTGCGCGTCGTCTCGGCCGTGATGCTCTTGCGCGCTGCTGCTGGGGGGGCAGTTGCGGAGGCAGCGTCAGTCTCGTGGACGGCGTTAGGGTCGTCGGCAGGAGCGGCAGGGGCAGCGTCTTCGGTTTCGCGATGCGCGGCGCTGGTGATTTCGCCTTCTCTTTCGCCTTCTCTTTCCCCATTGACCCCGCCTTCGCTATCGCGCATCTTCGCCTCGCCCTGCTCACGCTCTGGCCCCAGCGCGGTCACACCAGCTGAAGAAACATGCCTCGCACCGTCCGCAGCCTTTTCTACTCCTCTATCCCGCTGCTCTTGTTCCTGCTCCTCCCCGCCAACCTCCTTAACCGGGCTCGGCAGTCCGTTTAACGCTCCGCTCGCTCCTCCAGCTGTAGCAGCAGCAGCAGGAGCGACGGGAACAGCACTGTCCCTGCTCTTTTTCTCCTCCTCTTTCTCCTCCTCCTTCAATTCCTCAGCAACAGCACCAACGCTCTTCCTCCGTCCCCTGCTCTTCGATCTCTCGCGCACGCGATCCCGCAGCCGTCCAAACGACGACGAGAAGCGCTTCTTCTTCTTCTCCTTCTTCTCGTCCCTCTCTTTACGCTCGTCTTCTGCCGTCCCCGACGCACCGCCAACACTAGGAACAGAGAGCGCAACAGCAGGCGGCGCAACCGCAGCAGCAGGCGCCGTGGCACCCGTAGCGCCCGTGGCATTCGTCGCCATGGTCGTCGTCGTTGCCGTCTCGTCACCAGCTAGCGAGGAAGAAGTCGGCGCCGGCGCCGTCGTCGCCGTGTCCGTGCTAGCGGCCGTTGTTGGGGGCGGTTGTGTCTGCAACAAAGGAAGAGGTGCGCTGGCGCGCTGGGCCTGCATGTACACGGCGATCAACACGACGCGAACTGACACAAGAGGAGGGGACGGATGGTTGGATGGATGAATGGATGAATAGGGAGGATGATGATGAAAAGAGGGGCGCCAAGCGCACGAGCGAGCTACTGCTAGCGAGCTGAAGCAGGCTTGCGGGCGGCGGGCGGACGGGCGGCCTGAGAGTGGGGAATGAATGGGGCGAAGAGATTAGGTTGGTGATTGGTCATCAATGACAGGCGAGGCGACGCGAGGCGAGGGCGGAGCGGAGCGGAGCGAGGTGTGAAGGAAAAAGATGAATTGATTGTCCGAGAGAGAGACAGAGAGGTATAATAGAGACGCAGATGAAGGTATGGATGGTGGTATTGATTAAGAGATTGGAGAGAAAGAGATGGAGAAAGAGAAAAGCCTCCTCGCTCACTCGCTCGCTCGCTCGCTCGCCAGTTGATGGTACAGAATGGGGAATAGAGCCCAAACGCGCAGAAAGTGACGTGGTGCAAGTGCAAGAGAAAAAGCAAAAGCAGCAGCGCAAAAGGGATGGGGAGGATATACTCGGCCGTCGGCATCGTCATGGTCGTACGGCGAGCGAGCGCTGTGTGCAAATCAAAAAGCAGAGCCGAGCAGGGCGTCTCAAGAACGCAAAAAGTAGGAAAACTGCGACAAGCGACGACGTGCCCTCGTCCTCGTGCTCACATCACCCGTCTGTTCCTGTCCATCGCGCCATAGCCCGCCAGTCCCGCAATCGAACCGCTGCGCAGAACGCTAAAACATGCATCGCTCTCAAGGCAAGAAGACAAAAAAACAGGAAAAGAAGAAATCAAAACAACCCGCAGTAGTGACAGATGGGCAACGAGCGTCGTGTGTGCGTAGTGCGTGCGGTGAAGGTG